ACCTCAGGGGGTCGGGTATCCCGGGCGGTGCGCTCGACCAAGAAATCAGCAAGGGCTTGACCTTTGATAGCTGGTCTCGGTCGGTATTCGATCGCGTACTGGGTCAGCGTTAACGCCCACTTGACTAGGCGACCGGATGATGAAGCAGTGCGGAGGACTGGCCCGATCGGCTGATCGGTCAACACGCGAATTGCTCGTCCCTGGAAGTAGGGAGCCAACTTCTTCGCGGCAATGTATAAAGCGTAGACGACCTTCTCTATCCGGGAGTACCGGAGCTCGGGACCATGTAGCGCGTGGCTTACATAATACACTGGTCGCTGGACCCCTTCCGGATCGGTTCGGCACAATACTGCGCTCACTGCACGATCGGAGACGGCGAGGTACACGTCTAGCTCTTCTCTGAGCTCGGGCTTTAAGAGAACGATTGGTGACATGAGATACTCCTTCAGCTCATTAAAAGCCGCTCGGCATTCTTCGTCCCAGACGAATCCATTAACTTTTCGCAATACCTTGAAGAAAGGTAGAGCGCGCTCGGCTAACTTAGAGAGGAACCGGCTGAGGGCTGCCAATCGACCGGTCAATTGCTGGACTTCCCAAACGGTAGAAGGTGGTTGCATGTCCAGAATCGCTTTTACTTTGGCCGGGTTGGGCTCAATTCCTCTCTTGGTCATCATGTAGCCGAGGAACTTGCCGGTCTGAACCGCAAATGTGCACTTGGTTGGGTTCAGCCGCAACTGGTACTTCCTCATGATCTGGAAACACTCCCGAAGGTCCCGAGTGTGGTCGGATCGGTCCCGACTCTTGACCAGCATATCATCAATGTAAGCTTCCATCGTTCAGCCCAGCAGATCGGCGAAGAGCATATTGACCATTCTCTGGTAGGTCGCTCCCGCATTTCGGAGGCCGAACGGCATCACTCGGTAGTAATACAGCCCGTCCGGGGTCACGAAGGCTGTCTTGCTCTCATCTTCATGGTGCATCATGATTTGATGATAACCCTTGAATGCATCCATGAAACTCATTAACTCGGCCCCGGCCGTCTCGTCAACCATCTGGTGGATACTCGGTAGAGGATACGGGTCGAGCGGACAGGCCTTATTGAGGTCGGTAAAATCAATGCACATCCTCCAAGCTGGGGGCTTAGGAACAAGGACAATGTTGGCCACCCACTCGGGATAGATCACCGGTCGGATGTGCTCGATCGTCGCCATCTTCTTGACTTCTTCTCTAACAAACTCGCGGCGATCGGAAGAAAGGTGCCGGGTTTTTTGCACGACCGGCTTTGCTGCGGGATCGACGGCTAGCTTGTGACAAATTACCGATCGATCGATCCCGAGCATGTCTTCGGGCCCCCATGCAAAGATATCGGCATACTCCCGGAGTATGGCCAAGATTTCCGCTCGGAGATCGGGGGTGAGGGCCCGGCCAATCTTAATCTTCCTATCCGGTCGGTCCTCGGATAGGGGAACGTCTTCTATCTCCTCGGAAGGCTCAGGTTGCTCCTTCCGATCCTTAGCCTCCTCTTTGGCTATGGTATTCACCCGGGAAGACTGACCGGAGTCACGTCTATTGACCGCTCGGGTGTAACACTTCCGGGCGGATTGGACGTCGCCGCGGACTACGCCGACCCCGTTTGGGGTGGGGAATTTCATGCACAGGCGGGGCATAGAAATTATCCCACCGATCTTCATAATGGCGGGTCGGCCTAAGATAATGTTGTGGACGCAATGAAGGTTGACCACAACAAACTCTAGCTCCGTCTTGATCGACTTTGGGGATGTGCCGATCTCAACCGGGAGCGTTATTTTTCCCTCGGGGTACACTAGAGCCCTGGTAAAACCAGACAGTGGTACACCGACCGGAGTCAGCTCCTTCCTGTCAAGTCCCAGCTTCTCGAACACGTCCAAATAAAGGACGTTCACACTGCTGCCAGTGTCCACCATAACCCTCTGGACGTCCGTCCCTTTCACATCAATCGTGACCACGAGCGCCTCCATGCCATGGTCACCGCTGTTGGGCTGATCTTCGAGGGTGAAGGTTATGGGCTCCATCTTTTGCCTCTTCCCGGTCTCCCGGGAATCCACTATGGCGACCGGGCAATTACTCCTCGGTCGGGAAGCGTCTTCCAATCCACCAAAAATGACGTGGATGGTCGGCTTTCCTGCTGGTCGGCTGCTAGACGGAGGGTCAGGGTTCCGTCGGTCATCGCGACGATCATCTCTTCGATCGTCTCTTCGGTCCTAACCTGACCGATCGGAGCGTCCATCACGATCAGAGCGATCGGAACGATGATGGGAATGCCGGTGATCTCTCCGATCGGTGTTCCTCTTAGGGTCTTCCCTCCTCCCCACACACTTGTCCAACTTCCGAAGATTGAGCAAATCCTCCAACAGTTGGCGCAAGTGGGTACACTCTTCAGTGTCATGCCCGGCACATCGATGGTAAGCGCAATGCTTACTCTTGTCGGGGCCGTCTCGATCGGGATGGGGGAGTTTGATGAGATTGCAGGACTGGGCGTACTGCATGGCCTCCGCTGCGGATCGGTTCAGGGCCGTAAACTCACCAGGCCTGGTGCGGGATCGGGGATGGTCATCACCCGATCGATGTTCTGCCCGGCCGGCCGGTTTACGGGACGAAGACCCGACCTCCTGCGAGCGCTTTACGGCATTCGCTTCACCGGCGTTGGCATAATCTGTGACCCTTCGAAGGGCCTCCTCATACGTGGCCGGGGGGTGTAGAATGAAGTCTTGATACAAATAACCCGCCCGGAGGGAGATGTGAAGCATATGGGTGGCGGTCGCATCGTCCATGGGCTCGACCTCCCCGACCGCCGCCTTCCACTTGACGAGGAAGTCGGTCAAGCTCTCCCCTTCAAGCTGCTTGGCCTTCTCCAGATACATATAGGGCTTCCTCACCACCTTGGAAGTGATGAACTTCCTCACAAACTTGATCGCCAAGGTGTCAAACTTGTCGATCGAGCCCGGCTGCAAGGTTTGGAACCATTCCGCCGCTCGACCGGTAAGCTTGGAATAAAAAGCCCTACACATTACGGCGTCTGATACGCCCTTCAGCATCATATTGCTGTAGAAGTCATTAACATGGACCTCGGGGTCCGTCCGGCCATCATAACTTTTCTCTCCAGAGACCTTTAAATCAAGCAGGTAAGGCTGAGCCATCACCGCCGCTGTAAAAGGCGTTTGGTGCAAGGTCGATTGGTCGACCTGGGGTGTTGCAGGATGCGCGTTTCTGAATTGCGCAAACTCCGCCCGGAGGTTGTAGAGCAATCCTCGGGTCTCGTTGAGCTCGGCGGCTTGGGCAGCTTGGGCTGCGTCTCGAGCGCGTCGTCGTCGGTGAGATCTCGACCCGCTATGCCCGGATGAAGCCTCCTGGCTGGCTTCCTGCATCTGTACGTCTTCCTGTTGGCGGTTCCGGTCTTGGGGCCCCAAACGTTGCCGCATCTCCGGTCGAAGACGATCAAAAGCTGCCGCTCGGGCAACTTCTTCGGGGTCCTCCGCTGGGGCGGGAACCTCGGCTGCTTGCTGGGCCTGCCATGGCGCCTCCATCGCATCAGCACCCCCCGACCCCAACCGTGAATGAGCCGAGCGTCAAGCCCGGGAAGCGGACTGATGCTGCGGCTCTACCTGTGCGGCCGGGTAAACTGGAGGGGCGGCGGCTGGAGCCGTGTACGCAGGCGTATATGGTGGATAGCCAACCGGGGGAGTGTAGTACATCGGTTGGCCAGGCCAGTACCCATACGGCGGAGGTGGGACCGGGTATGGATATTGGCCGGGATACATCATCGGCTACTGCGGATACGGCTGACCGGGTGTTGGGCATCCCGGTTGAATGTAGTTCACCGGCTGTTGGGCGGCCGGGTATGTGTTGGATGAATGCGGTGGTGAGAGATTTAGATTCAAATCCACCGTCTGACCTTGCTATTGGGTGGCGTGGTGATCGGATGAGCTCGCTGCATCCGCCTGGTCGTCAGTGAAGTTGTTGTATGCCCACGGATACATCGTTGCAAAGAGACCGGGTGCTCGTCAAGACGTTGCTTTCTTGCACGGGTCCCCACAGACGGCGCCAAAATGATACTGCTAATTCTACGTAGCAATAATTAAATAAACCCGAGACCAATTAAAGCAAGTAAATATCTTTATTGATCACGGTAAAGGCCCTAAGTACAATCTACTTAGTTGCTCTGAGTGCCGACTGACTGCGGTCGGGATTCTCTAATAACAACCTATCGATCGTCCAAAAGTCCCCTACACTGTAGCTACTGTGGGTATTTATAGCCGCTGCGCCGAAGACACAAATCCGGTCGTCCGGCATGCTCTCCACGTAGCCAACACGTGTCATCCTCCCGGGTGCCCTGTCTGTCGTCGTAAAGAGCTGCCACGTGTTCTTTGTCAGCTCTCTCGCCAAAGGGCTACCGCTTGGTGGTTGACATAGCCGCTCGGGTAACTCCCGGTCGGACCCCGACCGGGTTCTTCACATGAAACCCGACTTGTTACCTGCAAAGACAAAGAGAAAAGGACGAAGGCACCTCGGTCGGGGTAAAGCTATGTCGGTCGGAATATTCCCTACCAATACACATTAGTAATTACACTACTCCTTACTGAGTACTGAGAAGATAATCTTGGGAAGCAACCTTAGTCATGATTTTCAAGCTTGTAATATGGGTAGTTATTTCTTCAGCACTGGTAGACTTTGTGGGCTCAGAGGATGTCGGATTCACCTATCATGGATTCAATTCGGCCAATCTGAGCCTCAATGGGGCGGCTGGGGTGATGCCCAATGGCATCCTGAGGCTAACAAATGAGACTACGTCTCAAACAAGCCGAGCCTTGTACTCTCTGCCTGTCAATTTCAAGGGTACGGCATCAAATGGTTCATCTTTCTCTTTCTCCACAACCTTTGTGTTCGCTATCGTGCCTGGGCTCTCGGTTTTGGATGGCCATGGAATGACCTTTGCTATTTCGCGAGTAGGCGGCCTTCCGGGAACGCTTGATGCCCCATATCTAGGCCTCTTCAATGGCTCCAACAATGGCAGATCCACCAACCTCGTCGTGGCGGTGGAGCTTGACACTATGCAGACCAATGATTTTCGTGATATCGATGGCAACCACGTTGGAATTGACATCAACGGGATGATATCTAATGTGTCAAAATCAGCAGGGTATTATGATGATAATAATACCTTTCGTAGCTTGAGACTTGCTAGAAGCAAGGCGATCCGGGTGTGGGTAGAATATGATGGAAAAGTTAAGCAAATGAATGTTACAATGGCTCCCTTGATGGTTTCTCGCAGGCCTGTAAAGCACATCTTGTCTTTGTCCTATGATCTTTCGATGGTTTTCCATGAAACCATGTCTGTGGGCTTCACAGCCGCCACCGGTGCAGTGGTATCAACCCAATATGTTCTTGGTTGGAGCTTTAAAATGAACGGTGTGGCTTTAGACCTCGATCCCTCTAAACTCGCAAAGCTCCCTAGAATCTGGCCTAAGGGGAGACCAAGAATCTTGGTTATTGGGGTGCCAATAGTTTCAACGGTTTCGTTTGTGGTGATCTTCTTGGGAATTGTTTATTACATCGGAAGGAAGAGGAAGTTTGCAGAGTTGCTTGAGGATTGGGAACTGGATTAGTTGACTAGGCTTATTAAGTGGTCTGGTTGGACTTAATAACTAGTAGTTGTTAGTCAACCAAACTCTGTGCCTAATATAATCCTGGATTGATGGGATACATGATGATTGATGTTAGCACATTCAGTTACGGTACTCAGACTGCTCAGTAGATACCAATACACCATCTAGGGTTCTGAGTCAGGTCTGAGGCAAAACATGGCTAACGGTCTACCGTTAAGAAGCAATACAACAGGAACATCAACTATGGCTGGAGATCTACATGGCTACGCTTCCGCTATCATACGAGGTCAGGTTTCTCGTATACTATGGTTTATTATAGTTAGATTATTTAGATCTAACATTTGGTATCAGAGTCATTATAATCTCTGCCTGGTTGATTGTATTGCCTAGAATCAACATTAGGTTTTTCATATACATTGAGCTTTCGTATATGTTTTAATTAGTTAAACTCTACACGTAAAAATATATCTATTCAGTCCGGATATAATTATGTAATTTATCGTGTATGTTTTGGGGTGAATTAATTACTGATTATGCCGAAATTATGAATACTTTTGGTTAATTTGAATATGTATGCAACCTGAATATATTTATTCTATTAAAGGCATACATATATTTGTGCTTTGATTTTTCAGTATGTATGTACATATATATTCGGATTTCATATATGTATATATATACATGTCAGTTTTTCCAGAAATAATGAAATAATTTTGGAAAATATTATAAATTGTTTTTCGAAATATGAAGGAGATAATTTCGAAAAATAAAGAATACACCTATTGACTACTACCTTGCTACTTGTTCGCCGGAAAAATCACCGGATTGAGTCGTCGGTGCCTTTTGGTTGTCGTCGACGTGTCGACGGCCTCTGTCAACGGCGGTGGACGGCGCTAGTTCTTCTGGTGACGACGACGGCGGCGCGAGTTGGAATTGCAGGTGGCGGTTGTTGGCGTTGCGCAGAGGAGGGGCGGTGGAGACGAGGCTGGGTTTTTCCCGGCGACGTCCCTGCTTGTTCTTCTTCTTCAGGGGATGCCGGCAACGGGCTGCCGCTGCTCCATCTCCGTGCTGCTGTTAAGGTCGTCGGCCGGCGGAGGCGTCGCGAATGGCGGACCTGCGTTGTGACGAGGAGAGATGGCGGTGGCGGCACTGTTGTTTTGGATTCTCAGCCGGTGCCTTCGCTGCTATCTTCCCTCCTTCAGGTCGAGCAAATTCTGGTCTGTCGCCGTTCCTCGAGCATCAGGCGGTGATGTTGATGCGCAGTAGGGTTTATGGATGATTAAAGATGATGATGATGATGTGTTATATTGTATGGGTCGGGTCTAGCCGATGGATCTATTAAAAAAAATAAATCTTCGGCCTGCTTTGTTTCATTGGGCTTGCTTCAGTTTCTCCATCATCATATTTAGACTTCTTCTAGCTTAATTGTTCAATTTAATTCCTCATTAATTTATTATTAAATTATCATTCAATTTTGGGCAAATATTAAGTTTTAAATTTGTTGTTTGAATTTTAATTTAATTTTGAGGTTTATTTTAAATTGCCTCAAGTGTTGCAATTTATTAAGAATTTATGACTTAATAATAATATATTAATATGCAAATCCAAGCATGCTACGTATATTCATAAATTATTATTATAATTATACATCTATAATAGCATGCATTAAAGTTGGATTTAGCATATTATTTACTCATAAATTCATTATTAAAATATCACTCAATTTTGGATCCTTAGGTCAATTTGAAGCATTATGGCCTATTAAGGTAGCTTGTTTTGGTTTCCACTTAATTTTGAGCTCATTTTAGTTTTATGTGTCTCTGGGACTTTACAACCTATTTTGAACAAGCTATTTGGGACCTATCTTGGGTCATTAAAGTATGGATCCCACCATTTTGATTGATATTTTAATAATAATTATAGCTCCTTATAACATGTTTATTAAGTTTTAATTATTACTAACTACCATATTTTGGTATTCATCGTTGGTAATAATATTAAATTTTGGATCTACTTCAGTATTAGACCAATTTTCATCCATGTTATAATTCACTTGGGCCATTGAGGTCTATGAGTCTAATTTGAGTTATTAAGTGCTATAATTATTGTATTGGTCTGTTTTGAGACATTAAGGATTAAGGATTTAATTGTTATTTTGGCCATTAAGAATTACAAACTATTGTTTAAGTTGATTAATTTTTTAATCTATCAATAGTTTTTCGGGGCCTTAATAATAATATTAACTCTTTAATTTTATGGCAAAAGCAATATAGTTGGTATATTGTTTGTTTAATGGTAATTTGGTTATTACCTTAACTTCAGTCTCCCTAAGTATCATAATAGTCATGGTTAATTATTATGTGGTAAAATTGAGATTAGTATTTGGCATCCCTTGATTACAGTTTTACCATTTATTAAGTTAAATTTGGCAGTATTAATTTCTGTTATTAAGTTTAGGGGCTAATCCCGTTTATTACCTCTTCATAATAATTATTATTTCATGGTAATCTACTATATTTGGTATATTGGTATGATTACCTGCTTCATTTTAATGACTATGAATGTTGGTAATTAAGCCCTACCAATAACTTTGCTAACGTACCATTGGACGTTGCATCGAGTTTGTTGACACCGACAGTGAAGATGAGAGAATTCTGGAGTTTTTCTTCGGATCATCATCGTTGTTAGCGCAATGGAGAGATGCAATTTGCATCATTAAGGTTAGCCATTAATTATCTTTTATAATTATTATTGATAATTAGTGCTACAGTTACAGTTAACCGCTAATTTGGACTAGTCACATATTTTATCTTTAGAAAAATGAAAACATTAAAAGTGCATTACCATACTTTAGTTTGTCATTACTAATGTTAATAGTGATTATAATGTTACTTATTGCTATTAATAATTAGTTAATTAATGATGACATTAATATAATATTGTTATGGTATTCAATTATGCACCTTGAACTGTTTCCAAATAAATTTATGTGACAATACTCCAGTTCAAAAAATAATTTTCTGGACATTAATATTTTTCGGACTTCAAATTTTATTAAGTTTTCAAAATTTTATCCGGAAACGGTTATAAATGTTAGCGGTTTTAACCATTATTTTTCCATATTTAGTCTCCTACTTAATGTGATAATATTATTATGGCTATTTATTGCTATTTTGATTGTTTGCAATTTTGCCATTAATAATAATAATATTATTATTAACTGAGTTATGGAGAGTGATTTTGAATCAATTTAGTAATTTTGGAAAAACATATTTTCTAGGCAATTGACTTTTGCCATTAATTCCATAATTCATTTAGTTCTTTGAATTATGACTGTCCATATTTGGTTAAGTATGAATAAATGAATATTTGGTTTAAATTCATATTTTTTAGTTGGTTCATACTCTTTAGATTGTTTTATGCATTCGATCACATTAAGTACATAATATTAAGTTTAATTATGTAATTGGGTTTATGAGATTTTAATTTACAAATGCTAGCATATCCTTTTGGTTTGATATTGTTTGAATTTGTAAATACAGTTATTTCTCATAAATTTGATCTTTATGCATTAAAACATTTTACCATGGAGTTACAGTTTAAAAAATTTTAAAGTATATATTCAGTACATTATTATTCAAAATGTTGGGTCTCTTTTGGTTTGGACTCATTGGTGTTTGAATATTAAGTTTATACTTTGAAATCTCATATTTTAAATTTGCTTTAAGTTATGCAATTTATTTGGAATATATGAGTTTAATGTTTAATTTTATGCATATTTGTCCTAAGCATAATATTCTGTTTTAAATTATGTAATTTTATTATGCCTTTAGCAATGCATAAATTTAGGATGGAATTATATTAGTTCCTATTTAAGTTGGACTTATGCATAAACTTTAGTCGCGGTAGTGTCTGAATTTAAGCACGTTTAGTCCTCTATTTTTAGTTCACCATTTAAGCTTTAATCATTGGCAGGATTGCAAAAATCCAGCCTAGGCATCGAGTAATCGGCGCCTAGGCGCTAGGCGCCCCTTGGCCGAGGCGATTTCCCCCCTAGGCTCCCGCCTAGGAGACCGGCCGCCTAGGCGCCCGCCTAGCGCCTAACTCGGCCGATTACGCCGAGTTAACTCGTTAATTTCTATCGAGTTAGCCGAGTCAACCCGGCCGACTCGACCTTGCTAATTTTTTTCATTTATATGACATATATATATATATATATATATATATATATATATATACATATATATATATATATATATATATACATATATATATATATATATATATATATATATATATATATATACATGTATATATATATATACATACATGTAGATGTATGTATGTATATATATACATATATACATGTATATATATATACATACATGTAGATACATATATATACATATATATATATATATACATATATATATACACATATATATATACATATATATATATACATATATATATATATATATATATATATATATATATATATATATATATATATATATATATATATATATATATATATGTATGTATGTATGTATGTATGTATAATATGACATATATGCACCTACACACGTGCATTGTTTTCCATTTTTTCAGTTAGCCGCCTAGGCCATCTAGGCGCTAGGCGCTACTCTACCGCCCGACTAGCGCCTAGCGCCTATTGCAACTATGATCATAGGTGAACCCTACAGTTTTCTGGTGTATACCCTACAGTTTTAGGTTCATATCCCCAAACAGTTATACATTAAGTATATATGAATCGGGGAGACATACTAGTTTTAATGGCCATGAGTTAAGAACATCTTGAGCCACTAGTCTCCTTAAATTGATACTCTATTTAAGGAATTGGTTTTCAGTGAGACTTAGTCTCTAACCACCTTTCCTTGGAGTATATTTAGATTTTCCCATCACAATCTGGTATAATCTGTTTGTTAAAATTTGAAGTATTTCTTGCCAATGTTAGGGGTGTGCAAATTTCGGAGAAATTTCGATTAACCGACCGAACCGACATGATTCGGTTAACCATTTTTTAACCGAAATATTTCGGTTCGGAGAATGGTTAAAGGTTTTCCCAAAATTCGGTTAACGGTTAATTCGGTTCGAAAGTGTCGGTTAACCGAATTAACCGAACGGTTAACCAAATTTTGGAATATATATATAATATATTAAATATTAAATATAAATATATAATATGTACTAAAATCCCAAATAGTCAAATGGATTATGGACTTATGGTATTATTTTTGTATGTTTTGATATGAATTTATTATGATATGTATTTTATTTTAATTGAATTTATTATTTTAGGAGTTATTTTTAGGATTTTCAATTTTAGGGTTAAAAATTTCGGTTAATCGGTTAACCGACCGATTAACCGAAAAAAAGTTCGGTTCGGTTAATTCGGTAGAGCGCATTTCGGTTCGGTTAATGGTTAAGGCAAAAAATAATTTCGGTTAATTCGGTTCGGTTAACCGAACGGTTAACCGAATAACACCCCTAGCCAATGTGATTTGATTTCGGTTCATTAAAGAATAGCCAAAGCATCCTTAATTTACTGAAGTCTTTTAAGTTTTCAATCTTGATTAATTAAGGAATAGCTACAGCATATTCAACTACCTAAGATTATTAAGTTTTAATCACATAAAGTTTAGGCAAGAATTTGATTATTGTCTAGTGATCTTATAATTTTAATTTTGTTTTGGAGTAGCCACAACATCCTCAATCTGTTAAAATTATATATTAAGCGGTTTATTTTGATCACATAAAGTTTTGGACATATCATTTGTGATTAATTGTATGTAATATGATGAAATTTAGCCCACAGGCAATTTCGTTATATTTGTATGATTAATCATGATGAAATACTGGACTACGGTCATAATTTAGCTCACAGGCAATTATGTATCGGAATGTAGTTTAGTAGTTTTATCAATGATGATAGAAATAAATTTATTTATTTACTTTATGGTTATTTGTAAATAATTTTCAGTTCTATCATGAAGTTTAATTTTATGATGTAAACTTTAGATCATATTTCTTAATTTGCCCACAGGGATTAAGAAAAGGAACATGATCTCTTAAGTTTGTTATCATAATGATAGCAATGAATCTTATTGACTAAAATTTTAGCCTACTGGCAAGTTTTAGGTCATTTGATTCTTCAACTCATTTGATAATGGTTTCATCATAAATAAATTTTTCAGTTGGATCTAATTGAGTAAAACTTTAGCCCACAGGCAAGTTTTATGTCACTAGATTCTTCTGGCTCTTTAGTAATTGTGAAAAATATTATCATAAGGGTTTCTTAATTGGATTTAATAGAATTAAAACTTTAGCCCATAGGCAAGTTTTATGTCAATAAATCCCTCAACCCATTAGATAATAATTTTATCACAATTCTTAGAAATTATAAATTTAGCTTAAGAGTAAATACCACCTATGGTCCCTCGAGTTTGGTGGCATCGCCATCAATGGTCCCTAACTTCCGTAATTACCATCCGTCATCCTCCGAGTTGTCAAAAGTTACCTTCTAGCGTCCTTCCGTTACTTCCTCCCGTCTTAGCCGTCAAAATGGAGGGTAATATTGTCATTTGACTTATATGAAAAGAGTTAATACCAGCCAAGGTCCCTCGAGTTTGGTGATTTGGCCATATTTAGTCCCAAGTTTCACTGCATCATATTCCATTATTTTCCTTCTTTCATATTCTCTTCTTCAAATGTATTATTATTACTATTATTTATAGTTATTATTAAATTCTTATTATTATTACTATTATTTAAAGTTATTATTGTTATTATTAAATTATTATTATTATTGTTATTGTTATTATTATATTATTAGCATTAAATTATTATTATTATTATTATTATTATTATTATTATTATTATTATTATTGTTATTATTATTATACTAGTATTGTCCTGTGCGATGCACGGACTAAATATTAAAGATTTGTTTGTAATGTTAGAATAGGTAAAAAAAATGTTTTTAATAATGGTATTTGAAGTACAGAAGAAGAAAACATAAACCATAATTTAATTTTTTAAAATTACATTTTTATTAGGTATATGACAAAATAATTATGATATTGTATTTATAATATTTAATTTAATAATTGAAAATAGTATGATACAAAAAGTTACTATTATTAATCGCAGCTAGCGGTATACATATTTGATCTTGAGTATGTCTACTCCTAGTATGCTACCCATGTGATGCACGAAATGAATATTGGACAACATTATAATAATATTATTTATTAAAAAATACATAACCTAATATCAACATAGTTGCAATTCATATTCATATATATATATATATATATATATATATATATATATATATATATATATATATATATATATATATATATATATATATATATATATATGGTCTTGTGAAAATTAAATGTTGTTAATACCAACATTTAACCATTAATATCAACATTTAATTGTCACAAGACCATATGACTTTATTATAATTAAGATTATTATTATTATTGTTATTGTTATTATTAAATTATTATTATTATTATTATTATTATTATTTATTGTTATTATTATTTTTTAAATTATTATTATTATTATTATTATTATTATTGTTATTGTTATTGTTATTAAATTCTTATTATTATTACTATTATTTATTGTTATTATTATTATTATTAAATTATTAAATTATTATTATTGTTGTTATTGTTGTTGTTGTTGTTGTAGAAATGTGCAAATGCTATATAGGATGAGTGTATTTAATAAAATCATAAAATTAGAGAAATAAAAATCTGGAGGAATGGAAAAATGGAAAATTGAAAAAATGGAGAAGGAAAACTGGAAAAATGGAGAAAGAAAACTGGAGAAATGGAGAAATGGAAAACTGAAAATGGAAAAACAGATAAATGAAGTAAACGACCCCTATACATTTGTAAATTTTCTTTAATATTGTATAGGAGAAGAGGGAGTTCGAGTTGGAAGTTGAGAAACCACCAACTTTCTTTAATATTGTTTGGCCAAGTTTGGGACTAAAGATGGCCAAACCACCGAACTCAAGGGACCTTGGCTGGTATTAACTCTTTTCGTATAAGTCAAATGACAATATTACCCTCCATTTTGACGGCTAAGACGGGAGGAAGTAACGGAAGGACGCTAGAAGGTAACTTTTCACAACTCGGAGGATGACGGATGGTAATTACGGAAGTTAGGGACCATTGATGGCGATGCCACCAAACTCGAGGGACCATAGGTGGTATTTACTCTTTAGCTTAATTATAATTCTAAGTTTCATGGTTTCCATTGGCAAAACATATTTTTCAGTCACTCCCAAAATTTAGTCACTTTTATTAATTGACATACATCTTTTGGATTCCATTAATAATAAAATGTATCTTTTGAGCCAAATTCTAACTTGGTTTTGGAAAATGTATTTTGTTTTTTTTTTTAGTATGTCCAACTATGGTGGGGAATTATATCTTCATTATTTAGTTGGACTTTAATTGGAACCAAAAATTGATTATTTAGTATGTCAAACTAATGGTGGGGAATTATGTCTTCATTTGTTAGTTGGTCAATAAATCAACTATGAGTATATATGTATGTTATTAAGTTCATTTTATTAATTTCGCTGAAGAATGTTTTAATCAGTGGGAGTGATCATTTAGAAAAAGATCATTAAGATACTCCACTAAAGTTTATGGATTTAAATGGCTTCATACATCCTAAATTTGATTGTATGTCAGACAGTAAGTCCAAAATATTCTACAAGTATTAATCTTGTATTCGTTCATATAAATTCATAAGTTCAAATTATTGAACATTTGGTTGTACAACATATTTATGAAAATGTTGCAACAATATTAAGGAATTTATTAGAACAAAAGCATTTAACTTGTGGTGCACTATAATTTAATAAATGCTTCAGTGATTAATAGAGTCTTTAGTTTCTTCAAAATTAATCCTGGGCCATTTTGGTTTGTAGGGCTCAAAACAATTTTGTGGGACATATAAGTAAGACTCGTTATGTTCAGTTCATTTAAAGTGAACATTGAAGTTATTTGGGAAGTTATGGTGTATGTTTAAGATTCCAAATTTATGGACTTAGACCTTTGGTTTATTGTCTAAGTTATTGGAATGCTTCTGTGACTTGACTATCTTTTGGCTATTTTTGATGAGTGGGAGTGACAGACGTGTCAACTCCAAGCTCTTAGCTGTTAGAGATAGTACTTAAAGTTAACTTATAAAGAAGTCATGGAATATAGTTAGCATTATGCTAACATTAAGAGATCTCTACTTAAGGCATGCTTATAAAGTTTTAGAGATCATACAGTGTACTCTTTTGTACAATTTGGATGTGTTTTCTCCTTCAGTTGTGCACATAATGTATTTTGAGAAACATCCCTTAAGGTACCGAGAATAAACATAAGGTTTGTTCATAAAGGACCTAAGTTGGAGAATTAAAATACTTAAATACATGTGACCATGCATAATGGATACTACTCTGATTAAATAGAGGACATATCACTATGATTCGTGTGTTTTGTTCTTTGATGAAGGTTGTGCTAGTACTTGCACCAAGTGGGAGAATGTAAGATTTTCTCTAATAATATATATTATATATTATATATTAGGGCCTTAATTAAGTGGTGCAAGTTGACTAGGCTTATTAAGTGGTCTGGTTCGACTTAATAACTAGTAGTTGTTAGTCAACCAAACTCTGTGCCTAATATAATCCTGGATTGATGGGATACATGATGATTGATGTTAGCACATTCAGTGACGGTACTCAGACTGCTCAGTAGATACCAATACACCATCTAAGGTTCTGAGTCAGGTCTGAGGCAAAACATGGCTAACGGTCTACCGTTAAGAGGCAATACAACAGGAACATCAACTATGGCTGGAGATCTACATTGCTTCGCTTTCGCTATCATACGAGGTCAGGTTTCTCGTATACTATGGTTTATTATAGTTAGATAATTTAGATCTAACACGGACCTCACAGGTTTAAGTACAAGGATTTGTACTATGCTACCAAGGGGTTTTCAGAGAAGGAGTTATTGGGATCAGTGGGATTTGGGATGGTGTACCGAGGGGTGTTGAAGTCTTCTAATGTGGAAATCGTAGTGAAGAAGGTGTCTCATGGATCCAGGCAGGGGATGAGGGAATTCGTGGCGGAGATCGTAAGCATTGGCCGATTGCGCCATAGAAACTTAGTGCCACTTTTAGGGTATTGCAGGCGCAAAGGTGAGCTCATCTTGGTGTACGAGTATATGCCTTATGGAAGCCTAGACAAGGTTATGTTCGACAACCCACAGGGTCGGTTTTTAGATTTTTGTGGCCCTGTTCGGATAAATAAATAAGGCCCTACCAAAATTAAAATCTATAAAACTAATACCGTAATTTTATTATCTAAATATATAACAAAAAAAATTATTCGTGCATCGCATGCACACTGCACGCACATCGCACGGATAATTGGACAATTATTTGCTCGAATTCAAGAACGGATAACATTTAAAAAAAAAAAAAAAAAAAAAAACATAATCGATACAACTCATTTCATCAATTGCACTATATAATATTCGTTGTTATAATTTTAAGATTATAACAAATCTTTTCCGTGCAACGCACAGATAAAAATAGACATATTATGGAATAATAATAATAGTGTACACAAGTTTTGAACCTTAGACCTCAAAGTTAAAATACAATAAATATATGTTCCTACCATTTCTTTATAAAACCTTTTAAGTTCAATTAAAAACTTTTAATTTTTATTTCTAAACTAACTAGGTAAAAATAAAATATTGAGCTTCTAAAATTTGGGGTCTCTCTAAAATTTGGGGCCCTGTGCGGTAGCCCAGCTTGCACAGTCCATAATCCGGGCCTGCAACCCGAAACCCGTCACCCTTGGTTGGAACCAAAGGTTTGGTGTGATCAAAGGCGTGGCGTCGGGGCTGCTCTACCTCCACGAGGAGTGGGAGAAGCTCGTGATCCACAGAGACGTTAAGGCCAGCAATGTGTTGCTAGATGGGGAACTTAATGGGAGACTAGGCGATTTTGGTCTGGCAAGACTGTATGATCATGGAACCGACCCTCAAACCACTCATTTAGTCGGGACGATAGGGTATCTTGCCCCGGAGCAAACAAGGGCCGGCAAGGCCACAACGTGCACGGATGTGTATGCTTTCGGGGCATTCTTGCTTGAAGTTGTGTGCGGGAGAAGGCCACTCGATACCCAACTCGAAGAAGACAATGATCTCATCCTCGTTGATCGCGTGTTTTCTTACTGGTGTAGAGGTGAAATTCTGAAAATTGTGGATTCAAATTTGGGCGGATTATGTTGTAGGAGGAGTGGAGCTAGTTTTGAAGCTTGGTCTTCTTTGCTGTCAATACGAGCCAAAGTGTCGGCCCAGTATGCGGCAGGCTGTGCTCTATTTGCAGGGAGCTCTGCCTTTACCAGACCTCTCATTGCTAAGAATAATATAATTTCCAGTGCATGATTTTGATTCATTCTTAGCAAGTTTTCAGTCTTTAATTTTCTTCCCAAACGAATAAGTAAGCATTTTTCATGATCTTTCTACTATGCCAAAATCGGTTTTCTTGGATGGTCTGGAAGATCTGTAAGTTGGGTGAGAATTGAAGCTAATACTCTACTGCCTGTACATGCATGTTCTTTAATTTTCTCAGTAAAATACCTAACATATATATATATATATATATATATATATATATTTCTCTTTTGTGCATATATTAGTGGTATTAATTATATTGACTTTGTTTGTCACCGTTAGAGTTAGCGGATTATATGTTAGCAATTTGCCTGCGCGAGTTTAGCTGAATGGTTCAGTAAGTGTCTGTTGAAACATTGATTCACCCTAATTTATATCCTCCCAAATGCAAGTTCAGCCTTTTGAGAGAAGATTATGTTTGCGTTTGAGAATTCAATATCCTCCTAAATGCTCTGTGGGGCTCTTGAGAATTCAACCTTTTGAGAGAAGATTATGTTAGCCCTTGAGAGTCAACCTTTTGAGAGAAGATTATGTTAGCCATTTTATCTCGTAAAATTAATTGTTCATGATCAATGGTTAACATGTAAAAAGAGTAACTTGTAAGGATGTTAATGTATTTTAATTATTATTTTTTTGTTTTATATAGAATGTTATAATAATTATAATTGCTTATTAAGAAATGCAAATCATTCAAGTGGCTAAATAATAGTATAACAACAAAAATATCAATTAATTTCAATTTACAACACAATTTAAAAATACAATACAAAATCCTATAAATTGAGCAATAGTATGTGACTGAACGACTCACGATTTAAGTTATTTAACTCTTTTAGCGCCCTTAGGTAGGAATTCTAAGGATTTAGGATTAGTTTAGCATAAACAAAAACATAAGGTATAAAACAAAACCAAAAAAAACAAAATTATGCAATTATGAAATTTGATGTGGTGGCAGCAGTATTGTATAATGAAGTGAGTTTGAGGTTTGAAAGGAATAGCGGTTGAGATGCAACCCAAATTATGAAATTAATATTAGAGAAAATATTTGATACGCCGTCGTTGTAGAGGTGCAATACAACAGTGATGAACTAGAAGTGTCATCTCATTAAATTGTAAAGCCAATTTTAATTGAATCCTTTTATGTAAATTATAATAATTTTAATATAATATACTTATAATTATTATCTTTTATTAAAAATAATAATTATAATCAATTAAAACTAAATAATATATTAATAAAAAAGCCAATCCAAAATGCTTCTAGCTAGAAATAACTTTTTGAATTCAAATATTGAAAACTAATTACCAAGCATTGACTTGAGTTATTTCACTTAGTTAAATAACTAAAAACTATTTAAAAGATATTCAAAACTTTGGGGGCAATAAACAAACGAGTTTTTTGCACTTTTGGTCCCATGATCAGAATTGATCCACTACTTTCAAACCTTGCAATTTTAGTTCATGACTATTGTTTTTTTGGCAAAAATGGTCCTTCCGGTCACTTTTCCGTCAAAATTCCACCGGAGGAAAAATTTTTCATTTTTAAGAAGGCTAAAATGGCTAAATTTGCCTAGTACGAAAAGTGCAGAATATGATTTTATATAAATTGTATTGCAAACCTGGAGTATTGATGTTGTTATTGCTAGCGAAATGTCAAATTTAGCCCTCTTAAAAATGAAGAAATTTTCTTCCGGTGGAATTTTGACGAAAAAGTGACCGGAAGAACCATTTTTACCAAAAACAATAGTTGTAGACTAAAATTGCAAAGTTTGAAAGTCGTGAATCAATTCTGATAGTACCACTATAGTCATGGGATTAAAAATGCAAAAAACTCATAAACAGACTGCACCTTAATCTAAAAAGTAAGTGAAAGAAGTATGTATATATGGTAGATGCAGACTTGTTTCACATCATCACTCTTCATCTAGAAGAAGTACATGACAATGTCAATTGTTGAGCACGCAAATGATAATGTACAGTGGGTGATTTACTGGAATATAATATTACAAATTGACCAAAATTTATTAACACTTATCCTTATTGTATCTGTAAAGGCCATGGTTGCAGTAGGCGCTAGGCGCTAGTCGGGTGGCCGGGCAGCGCCTAGCGCCTAGGCGGTCTAGGCGGCGCCTAGGAGGATTCTAGGCGGCGCTAGGCGGGCACCAAAAAAATTTAAAAAAATAGTAACAGACTTGTAGTTCGACAATTTTAATGAGGTTGTTTTCAACGTTCACTCAAATAACACATCTAAATAAATGAAATAATGATAATTTATAAGTCATAATGTCATAATAATATTAAAATCAATAATTAATGAAAGACGACATCGGTCAAAATCGAACAAAATCAGTCAAAATTGGTCAAAAACGGTCAAAATCGGACTAAATCGGTCGACTCGGCCGAGTTGGCCGAGTTTGGCCGCCCAGGCCGCCTAGGCGGCCGGCCGAGTTTTGGCCAAAACTCCAAGGCTTGGGGCCGCCTAGCGCCTAGGCGGGCGGCTAGGCGGCCGAGTTTTGCAACCTTGGTAAAGGCTAATTATTGTGTAAATCATGATTTACACAATGCTGTATTGATTATAAAAAAAATACATTTTAATATTTTAAAAGTATATTATTTGTGTATTGGAATGTATATTATACGCGCACATCAATTAAACAATATAATACTTATGAATTCTCGTCGACAGGAGAAGAAAAAACGCTCCGCAATAGTCGTTCGCCTTTCGATCGTGATCGCTCCCCGTACGTGATCGCCGATCATCGGCGTGTTGTGGCCCTCTCTCTCGAACGTGCGTCGAGAGGGTGATCTCCCTAGTGTTCTAGGGTTCTTTTTATAGCTGGTTTTTGTCAGATGGATTTCGCAATTGTGTTCTCCTGGTATACGATTCTCTTGTTATCATTGATTCCGATGCAGTACGCTACGATGGATATTCAACAAATCGAGAAGCAGTGTGCTGTCCTATCCCTAGCCGAAGAAGAATCTGGCGGTCTGAAGGCTCCTGATTTGCAGCCGATCCCGGATGTCACGATCCATCATAACCTGGTTGGGAGGCTTCTCACGGATCGACCGGTACGTTTTGAGCACATGCAACAGGTCATGGCGTCTGTGTGGCGTCCAGTCATGGGCATGTATGCGGTTTCATTAGCAGATGATCTTTTTCTGTTCTAGTTTCCACATCCGAAGGATCTCCAGCGGGTTCTCGACGACGGGCCGTGGTCTTTTGAGAATAACCTTCTTATATGCGATCAGGTTCCGTTGGGCATCAGGCCAGAAGATGTCGAATTGGTTTTTGTCCTGTTCTGGGTCCAGATTCATGGGCTGCCATCCATGTTTGCCTCCCAAGAATTCATTGCCAAAATAGGGGATCACGATGGTGAATTCATCACGGCAGATCCGTTCAATTTTGGAGGGACTTGGAAAAGCTATTACCGGATCAGGGTGAAGATGAATCTAACCACCCCTTTGAAACGGTGGATGAAGCTTACAAGGCGTGATGGTTCTGTGCAATGGATCACATTCAAATACGAGCGCTTGGGTACCTTCTGTTATTGCTGCGGGATACTGGGCCATTCGGATAAGTTCTGTAAAACGATGTACGAGGAAGGGATTCTACCGGAAGCGTTTCCGTTTGGAGCTTGGCTGCGCGCCGGTCCAAGGAGGCAGGTAAAGCCAGTCGGTGCAAAGTGGCTCCTACCGGCTTTGTCTATCACGTCGACTGTGTCCAATATTCCTTCGGCAGGCCCAACGCCGGCAGTATTGGTGGTTGCGGAGGAGGCTGGGGGTTTGCAAGGAGATTTGAAGCGTAGACGGGGCGATGAGGAGGACAATGCGACAGGTAGTGATGTGCAAATGACCGACACACCAAGAAATCTTGAGAAGGCGGGCTTGGAGGACCAGGCTCGCCAAGACAAATGAGTTGTTTGAGCTGGAACTGCCGGGGAATGGGTGGCTCCCGGACAGTTCGCGAATTATTGGGCATCATGTCCAAAAAGCGACCCATGTTCGTTTTCTTAATGGAAACGAAGGCTACTGATGTACAGGTGGAGGAGGCGCGTGTGAAGATGGGTTTCGACTGTAAGATTGGTGTGGAGCGTAAGGGATTAGGTGGGGGTCTTGCTTTCTTCTGGAGGAACGCGGATACGGCATCGCTCATGAGTTACTCCAATAATCACATCGACATGGAGATATCTTTGCCTGGGCGCCCGGCTTGGAGACTTACTGGTTTCTACGGCGAATCGGATCGGTCCCGACGTCACATCACGTGGGACTTGTTACGGCAACTCAAGGATAGGTCGCCCCTGCCGTGGGTCGTCGTGGGCGATTTCAACGACATTGCATGTTTTCCGAGAAGAGAGGATCACATTCCCATCCATCCTCGCTTATTGAAGGGTTTAATGATGCATTAGGTGACTGTCAGCTTATTGATTTAGGAATGGAAGGCGGTAGGTACACATGGGAGAAGAGCCGAGGCACCGCGTCGTGGGTGGAGGAGCGTCTGGATAGGGTGGTAGCCACGGCGGAGTGGTTGGAGATGCATGAAGAAGTGGTGGTTCAAAGTGTTTACACTGTATGTTCGGATCATTGTGCGCTGTCGGTCAACTTTGACCCGGAAACTGCCCGAGCAAACTCCCGTTCTTTTAAATTTGAAGCTGCTTGGCTCTTGGAAGATGGCTGTGCAAGGGTTGTCGACGAAGCTTGGCGTTTATCGGCGGGATTAGGCTTCCAGGAGCGGTTGGCTATGTGTGGCGAGCGTCTCTGGAAATGGGGGGGTGAGCATCACCGGAGGTTTGGCAACCGTATCCAAACATTGCGCCGAACCCTGGCTCGATTGAAGGAGGATCGCAGTGTCCAGGGCGTGGAGCAGTTCATGCATGCGGAGGCTGAGTTGGAAAATTTACTCACAGCAGAAGAAGTCTTCTGGAAGCAGAGGTCTAAGCAGTTATGGCTTAAGCACGGGGACGCAAACACAAAGTACTTCCATAAATCTGCAACGGCTAGGCGCAAACGTAACCTACTATCGCGGCTAAAAGATCCGGAGGGCAATTGGCAGGAAGGCACGGCTCTAAATACGGAAATTCTCAGGTATTGTGAAGCTATCTTTTGCTCCGGTGCAAGTAATGCTGATCTTTTTCACCATGTCCGGGAAAGGGTCACTGATGAGATGAGAACATCTCTATCATAGCCCTTCACAATTCTGGAAGTGAAAGAGGCTTTGTTTGGCATGGCCCCTGATAAGGCGCCCGGGCCAGACGGCATGTCGCCGGCGTTCTTCCAACACTTTTGGCTTGTGCTGGGGCACGACATGTCCATGTTCCTGTTCAAGTGTGTAGAAACCAGAACCTTTCCCCCGGGGTTAAACGATGCGAACATCGTGTTGATTCCAAAGAAGTCTACACCTATTCGAGTATCGGACTTGCGGCCCATAGACCTTTGTAACATAGTGTACAAAGTGCTAGCTAAAATGATTGCTAACCGGTTAAAGGTCTGTTTGGGTCAAGTTGTTTCCCAATCTCAGAGTGCCTTTGTGCCGGATCGGCTCCTAACCGATAATATTATTATAGCCAGTGAAATCGGGCACTTCCTACGTAGGAAAACAGGAGGAAGAGTAGGATGGACTGCGCTGAAGCTTGATATGGCTAAAGCGTATGATAGGATGGAATGGCCCTATCTGGAGGGTATGCTACGAGCCCTCGGTTTTGATAGCAATTGGATTGCTCTTGTAATGCTCTGTGTCACCACTGTTAATTACTCTATTTTGGTTAACGGTGTGGCTGCGGGGCAAGTTCGTCCTACCCGGGGAATCAGGCAAGGCGACCCGCTGTCACCTTACCTTTTCATCCTATGTGCTGAGGGCCTGTCGATTCTCTTGCAACAAGCAGAGGCCCGGGGTGATATACATGGGGTGAGGGTGGCCCGGGGTGCACCGGCCATCTCTCACCTATTCTTCGCTGACGATAGTTTACTCTTTTTCAGGGCCAACCAACAAGAAGCGGTAAATATCAAACTTTGCTTGGACCTATACAGCTCGGCATCGGGACAACTTATCAACTTTGATAAGTCCAATGCAGTTTATAGCCATAATACACCTGGACCTACCCGGATCCTAGTCACGGGAATAGTGGGGGTTCAAGAAGCCCCGGATTTGGGTCGCTATCTTGGCCTGCCATCGGTCCTTGGGCGAAATAAAACGGCAGTTTTCAAGTATATTGAAGAGAATACCCGGGCGCATATCGGGTTGTGGCAACATAGATTTCTATCCCGCGCAGGCAAGGAGGTACTGCTGAAAAGTATTGCACAATCTCTCCCAATTTTTACTATGTCTATGTTTGTGTTGCCGTTGCGTGTCTGTGACACGTTGGAGATGATGTTCAACCGCTTTTGGTGGGGGGGTGGTGGTAATGGGGGTCGGGGGATACATTGGTTATCCTGGGACAGGCTTTGCAAGCCAAAAACTATGGGTGGGTTAGGATTCAAGAAACTACATGACTTTAACATTGCTTTATTGGCCAAATAGGGGTGGCGCTTATTGACTCAACCTGATTCTTTGGTAAGCCGCCTCTTGAAGGCTAGATACTTTGCAACAGTGGGTTTCATGGAGGCTCAGATAGGAGGGAATCCCAGCTTTACTTGGCGGAGCATAATGGCCGGGAGGGCTATTCTTGAACAGGGTTTGGCCAGAAGAATTGGTGATGGAACGGAGACAAGGGTTTGGGGGTGGAATTGGCTCGCTGATGCATCAAACACACCCCTTATAACGCCGTGTGTGGACGAGCTGAGACATGCAATGGTTCATGGGCTGCTTGATGAGCATGGGCGATGGGATGAACACATCTTACGAGATATTTTTCATTTTGATGACATCCCCAGGATTCTTGCTACCCCAGTGAGTGTTCATGTTAAGGATTGCTGGAGATGGCCTGGTGATTTACGGGGTCAGTACACTGTGCAGAGTGGCTATTGTCTCCTGGCTCGCGAAAGAATGCAACCAACAGTGGAGGTGGTCTTTCATGCATGGAAGGCATTATGGGCTGCTCCGGCTCCACCCAAAGTGCGAAATTTCCTGTGGCGCTGTGCTCGCGACGTGCTCCCGGTGCGTGACAACTTGCGCTTGAAAAGGGTGTGGATTGGAGGAGGTTGCCCAATCTGTGGCTTTGCTACGGAATCTATGGATCATCTTTTCTGTGAGTGCGATTTTGCGAAGCAGCTTTGGGAGACCAATGATGTGCTACAGGGCAGGGGATTCATTGCATTCATGGATCACGTCTTGGGCACTCAAGGGGCGGATGCAGCGATGAAGATGGCCTCGGTTTTATGGACGATATGGCGAGCACGCAACGACGTTGTTTGGCATGACACGAAGCTATCTATCACCACATCGCAACATATGATGAACCAGCTTCGGGACTCTTGGAGAACAGCGTATTGTCAGACGGGGAACGCACTGGAGAGAGCCAAGACTCGTGCGCAATGGACGCCACCACCAGCAGGGATGTTGAAGTGCAACGTAGACGCAGCCATGGTCGAGGGTGGGGCTAGCTTTGGCCTGATTATCCGCGACCACCTGGGTTGTTTCGTGGCGGCGAAGAAGGGCCGCTTGGTCGATGAACGTGACCCATATGTGGCTGAAGCTCTTGCGGTTAGAGAAGCACTATCTTGGTTGAAGGAACAAAGATTGAATAATTTAATCCTAGAATCTGATTGTTTAAATTTCTGTAACGCTTTTAATTCCCAGTCTGTTGATTTTTCTTATGTTGGTCTGATTGTAAAGCAATGTCGGGTGTTTGCTAGTGACATTGGGAATGTTGTATAGCCCATGTCAGGAGATCAGCGAATCGTGTAGCTCACGAGCTTGCTCGGGCGACAGGTTCTTCAGCTGACTCGGAGGTGTGGAGTCAAATCCCGCCTAGTTGTATTTCCGGTTTATTACGTGTTTAATGAAGCTTTCCAGTTTATGTTCAAAAAAAAAAATGTATATTATACAAAATAATGTACTTTTAGTACTCAAATAATATAATGTACTTCCCTTAAATACAATGTACATTTTAAATATACTAAAATTACATTATTTGTGTATTGAATGTACATTATTTAATAATATAAAAAATAATATATTTTCAGTACTCAAATAATGTACTTTCAAATAATGTATTTTATGTACACAAATAATATATATATATATATATATATATATATATATTTTATTTATGGTCCACATGTATGTGTAAACCATAGTCTACACAATAATATAATGACTCATCTCCAACCCTTCTCCCCTTATCACTTAATTTTGTGAGTCTATCTCTTTCACTTCACTATATAATCTCTTCTCCAATCTTTCTTCATTTTCCTTCCCTTTTTGTGGGTCTTACATCATATACATAATCTATTATTTTATTCGCTTTTATATAATTATTAATAATATCAACGTTATAATTATAATTTTAAATAACTTTAAATTTAAATAATAAAATAAAATAAATTTTTAATTATAAAATATAATTTTATTAACTAATTAATCAAAATATAATTTCATAAATTAAAATTCACATTCGAAATCGTCTACGGAAGAAATTAATTTTTGAAAGCGAATACAACATTTTAAATACTAAATATAACATCCATTAATACAATTAAAAGTTTTAAAAGTAAATTACCCTAAAAGTTTTAAAATAAATGATAAGGAGTAATCAATTTTACTTTATCACATGATATGTATCAATTAGGTGAAAGGAAAAGAAAAATGAATAAATAATTGTAAGTGTCTGTGTGCCGCAATGGTAGAGATAATGTTATATACTCAGTATATGTTAAGAAAAAATAAATTAAGGACTAAAGTAGTAATTAGTCAAAGTTAAAGTCAAATTTCTGAATTAGGTGGCAAGTATGTGAAGCATGATTCTTATATTTAAAAATTACGAATTTAATTTATGTTCATTGTACGAGATTTTTTTAGTACAATTTACCATTTAAATGATAAAAGATTTTTAGTCAACGAACGGATAATGAGGCTAGGGAAGTAAGTGCACATCTATCTTAGGGAGACAAATTTTAAAATGTTCATCAACATTATTACGTGCCTATTTCACTAACTCACTAAGTATAATCATATGTGCTTTTAAGGTTGTATTAAGTATTGTTAACTTTTGTCCCCACAACACACAAATACAACGACCCAAAAACACTAGTGTCGATCAGTCGATGTAGACTTTTTCTTTACTTTTATTTATGTTGTTCGCATGTTTGGGACAGATCCTAACACATCATTATCTGCAGAAGGTAGTGCTCGTCTTCTAGTGTCCACTAGTACAAAAAACACTTTCAGAATGATTTATAAAACACTTTTGAATTGTACAAGTGACTCGGATCCCAATAACTCTGAAAGTGTTTAGTTTTTCGAGACACCCGTATAGTGTTGCGGAAAACTGAATAAGGATTTTTTATTTTTATAATAGAGACTTTTCGAGACATCTGTTGCGTCACAGGTGCCTCATAAAGTCATTTAATATTTTATTATTAAATACTATCCGCGACACCCACGTACAGGTGGATGCCGCGGAAATCATTTTTTTTTTATTTTTTAATTAATTGTATCCGCGGCACCCACTTTACAGAAAACTGATAATAAATTCTTCCAAAAGGCTGAACCCCAACCCTAAGGGCTCCCCACACCCCGACTCGACAGCATTTGGGAGGATAGAAAACTGATAATAAATTAAAATAAGTAATTAAAGTACTGCTTTGGTCAATTGTGCTATCCCAGTTTTGGTACTGTGCCAAATTCATTGACAAATGATTTTACATTCATTTCTGTAGGTTGTTGTTACGCAACATGCTACAGGTGGCGAGAGGGCCAAGAGACAAGTCTCAATTCCAGTTAAACTTCGTGACTATGTGTGCAGCTAAGTCTCTTAATTTTCAGGCCATGCAGACTAATTCTTTGCCATTTTATTTCTGTTGTAGTTAGTATAGGAAGTGCCAAATAAATAGTAGACTTTTAAGGGATCAGTTGTATGAGAATCACTATATATATTGTCGTTAATAAAAGTAAGGGCATCACCCTAAATTTTGCAATCTTCTCTGTCTGAATTCTTAATACTCTGCTCCTCCTCTATATTTCTTTTCTGGAGGTTCCACCCTCATTAGTGGAATATTTCACAAACATAGACACAAACCACACAAATCATCGCAACATCTGGTGCTCTTGTTGAGAACAAATGGCAAATGAAGGCGTACAAACCCGTCAACGGGCTCTCGAAGAACAACTACAACAAATGCGAGAAGCCCAGCGGAAAACCACAGAGGAACTCCGACAAGCTTTGGCAACCCAGAATCAAGCTTTTAATGAAGCCCTCAACAATGCCATAACAGAGCTTTCCGTGAGAATCACCTCCCTCAACGTCGTCCCAGCCACTACCTCTTCATTACAAGCCGTTACAAGCCATCCAAATTCCCCATTGCACTCAACGCCTCAACCACGTCATATTCGGTGTGACATGACCACTTTCGACGGCAGCAACCCGTTGGATTGGATCTTCCAAGCTGAGAAATATTTCAGTTTGTGGGAGACTATGGAAGAGCAGAAAATTGACATTGCCAGCTTCTACATGGTGGGGCAAGCTTTGTCTTGGTTCCAATGGATGCACAAAAACCAACAGTTGTCGTCTTAGCGGGCATTCACTGTCGCACTTGAACAACGATTCGGACCTTCCTCATACGTGAACCACCGGGCAGCCCTCTTCAAGCTGACCCAGAAAACAACGGTCGCTGCATACCAGACCGAATTTGAGGCTGTTAGCAACCGGGTCCAAGACTTACCCCCAGGCGCAATATTGGACTGTTTTGTTTCTGGGCTGAAATCAGACATACAAGCTGAAATGGCTATTCTGAAACCCAACACTTTATCAGATGCAATCGCGTTGGCTAAGCTAGTCGAGGACAAGCTTCGGGACACTCGACCGATGCAGTCTAAATTCTCAGCACCTTGGCGGCCTTCCGGTGTCACCATGGGAAATCAACCGAACCCATCGCCAAACACTCTACCACCCTTGTTACCACTTCCTGCGCCCACGAACCATAAAACACAATTGCCAATTAGGCGCCTCACGGCGGCTGAAGCTCAAGAGCGAAGAGCCCAAGGGTTATGTTACAATTGCGATGAGCGATACAGGCTTGGGCATCGGTGTCGCACGAAACAATTTTTAATCCTCTTGACGGATGATCCCTTGGGCGAACCTGACGAAGTAGGAAACAAAGAGGATATAAATGAGACGTCAGCAACTGTTGCTACTAATTTAATCGAGGAGCCAGAACCCGAGATATCGTTCCATGCCTTGGTTGGGTCTACAGGGCCCCGCTGTTTCCGTTTGCCTGCTAGCATCCACCACCAGCCTTTCACAGTGCTCATAGATACCGGTAGTTCTCACAACTACCTCCAACCGCGGGTCGCAAACTTCCTTCACCTCCCAATTGATCAAACTACTCGTTTCACAGTTGCGGTAGGAAATGGCGAGAAAATCCAAAGTGAGGGTACGTGCAGGAATATCTCTTTTGATATGCAGGGAGCACACTTCGAAGCAGATTTCCATATTTTAGAATTTTCTGGAGCAGACGCTGTTTTGGGAGTACAATGGTTGGAAGGACTAGGGAAAATCGTGACAGATCATAAAAAGTTGACAATGGAGTTTGAACACAAAGGTCAGCCAATTGTGCTTACAGGGAACCAATCGGCATCCATCCAACCTATGACTCACCATCAACTAATGCGGCTGCAGCAAGTTGATGAAGTATCTGAATGTTTCCTGTTGATGTTACAACCTCATCCTTCTCCAACTGCACAAGTCCAACTAGCCGTCCAGAGTCTGCTAACCAAATATTCCAAAGTTTTTGACACTCCAAAGGGCCTACCTCCAAGTAGGAATCTGAACCACCATATCAATCTCCTGCCACAATCGAGTCCCGTGAATGTTAAACCGTATCGATATCCTCATTTCCAAAAAAATGAGATCGAACGCCAAGTCCAGGAAATGCTTCAAAATCAAATTATTCGACCCTCCACTAGCCCGTTTTCATCCCCAGTGCTCTTAGTACGGAAAAAAGATGGAACATGGAGATTTTGCGTTGATTATAGGGCCCTAAATGCAATCACCATCAAGGACCATTTTCTTATTCCAACCGTCGACGAACTTCTTGATGAGTTACATGGCGCCACCATATTTTCCAAACTTGATTTGCGAAGTGGGTATTTCCAGATTCGGGTTCATCCACCAGACGTTCACAAGACTGCGTTCCGGACACATGAGGGTCACTACGAGTTTTTGGTAATGCCTTTCGGGCTCTCTAATGCCCCATCTACATTTCAAGCGACCATGCATGCGGTTTTCAAGCCTTGCCTACGACGGTTTGTATTGGTTTTTATTGACGATATCCTTGTTTATAGTCGCTCCACATCTGACCATGTTCGTCACCTTCAAACTGTTTTGGAGTTGCTCTTGCAACATGAGCTATATGCAAAATTCTCCAAATGTAGTTTTGCACAACAAAAACTGGAGTATTTGGGGCACCTAGTTTCAGCATATGGCGTGAGTGTTGATCCGGCAAAGATACAGGCAGTATTAGAATGGCCTAAACCCAAAACGGTGACTGAGGTGCGAGGTTTCCTCGGCCTAATTGGATATTATTGCCGGTTTGTTCAAGGGTACGCCAGGATAGCCGGCCCTTTAACAGAGCTCCTCAAGAAGAATGGGTTCACTTGGAATGTTGATGCAGACCAGTCTTTCGCTGACTTGAAGGCAGCTATGACAACCACTCCGGTACTTCATTTTCCTAATTTTCAATTATCCTTTACTGTTGAAACAGATGCTTCAGGTTGTGCCATAGGAGCCATTTTATCCCAAAATAAACACCCGATCTCTTATTTCAGTAAGAAACTTCCACCCCACTACAAAAATGCCTTAGCATATAGTAGAGAAATGTATGCCATTACGGCCGCAGTTCGGCGTTGGCGTCCTTATTTGTTAGGCCGCCCATTCACAATCATTACAGATCATAAAAGCCTCAAGCAGCTGCTTTCTTAGACCATACAGACTCCGGAACAACAGAGGTGGCTAACTAAACTTTTGGGCTTTGACTTTATTATCGAACATAAAGCTGGTTTGGAGAATAAGGGGCCAGATGCTTTATCTCGATGGACTAGTGAGGCTCAAGGGGGTTATTTGGCCCTCTCAGTCGCCACAACTAGTTTACTCTCCGAAATTAAGGCGTCATTATTTGAGGACCCCACAGCTAAACGTCTCATTGCTGCTATCAAACTTGGCAACCCGACAGATAATGGTTTTGCATGGACAAATGACGTACTATATTTCAACGGGAAAATATATGTTCCAGAGGGGAAGGATTTACGGCGACGTTTGTTGGCCCTATTCCATTGCTCCAAACTCGGGGGACACTCAGGCGAACAGAAAACGTATGCTCGATTGGTTGCATCCTTCTACTGGCCGGGGATGCATAAGGACACTAAGTTATACATTCGTGAATGCTCCATTTGTCAGCAAATTAAGCCAGAAAATTCTGCCCCCAAAGGCTTATTACAACCCTTGCCGATTCCTACGCAGGTGTGGGAGCATATCACAATGGATTTCATCACGGCTTTACCTCAATCAAATGGTAAAACGGTGATCTGGGTTATCGTTGATCGACTGTCTAAATATAGTCATTTTTGTGCTCTTCCTGACGGATTGACTGCTCCAAAATTGGCTGAGTATTTTGTTCAGGAGTATGTGAGACTCCATGGTTTCCCTCGGTCCATCGTGTCTGATCGGGATCCCCTATTCATGAGTTCATTTTGGAAGGAACTTTTTCGCTTACAGGGGACCGAACTCAAGCCTAGCATTGCATATCATCCGCAAACGGATGGGCAATCAGAGGTGGTAAATCGTAGCCTCGAGATGTATCTCAGAGCCTTTTCTGGAGATTACCCAACCAAGTGGTCACGAGCGCTCCCATGGGCTGAATTCTGGTACAATACTAGTGTTCACACCTCGACCGGATTCTCCCCTTTTCAAGTTGTGTATGGCAGACCACCTCCTCCATTAGTGGGCTACTCCGAAGGTGCCACCGCTGTTGCACGACTAGACGATGCGCTTTTGGCTCGTACTGATCTTATGGCTACGCTCAAGACAAATCTACAACGAGCTCAGGAAAGAATGCAGGTTCAAGCTAATCGGCACCGTCGTGACAAGGAGTTTAATGTTGACGATTGGGTTTATGTCAAATTACAACCCTACAGACAGGGGTCTGCAGCCCAATGCCATAGTCACAAACTTGCTAAGCGTTATTATGGTCCTTTTCCCATCATTGCACGCATCGGGAAGGTCGCTTACAAATTATCATTACCGGCAACCTCACGTATCCATCCAGTGTTCCATGTCTCATTGTTAAAGTTCTGTCCAAATCCATCTATAGTCACACCAGCGCTTCCCCCACCATCTGCGGATCAGTTTCCTGTTCCGCTACGCATACTGGATCAACGGGTTGTTAAGGAGGATAAAAAGAAGCGGCTACAAGTTCTTGTTCAGTGGGATCGTACGTCGCCTGCGGAAGCCACTTGGGAATTTTGGGACATCTTCCATGCATCCTTCCCGACCTTTCGCCTTGAGGACAAGGCTTCTTTCGATGGGGCGGGTAATGTTACGCAACATGCTACAGGTGGCGAGAGGGCCAAGAGACAAGTCTCAATTCCAGTTAAACTTCGTGACTATGTGTGCAGCTAAGTCTCCTAATTTTCAGGCCATGCAAACTAATTCTTTGCCATTTTATTTCTGTTGTAGTTAGTATAGGAAGTGCCAAATAAATAGTAGACTTTTAAGGGATCAGTTGTATGAGAATCACTATATATATTGTCGTTAATAAAAGTAAGGGCATCACCCTGAATTTTGCAATCTTCTCTGTCTGAATTCTTAATACTCTGCTCCCCCTCTATATTTCTTTTCTGGAGGTTCCACCCTCATTAGTGGAATATTTCACAAACATAGACACAAACCACACAAATCATCGCAACAGTTGTAAAGTACTTTGTGGATCCAAAAACATTCCAGAAGATAAAGTTCGTGTATCCAAATAATCAAAAGATAGTATGGAGGTCATGAAAAAAAAAAAAAAAACCACTTTAAAATATGATCATGAAGAATTTTAATTTCATAGTTGATGACCCACGAGGATGTAAAGAATGCAAAATTTTGGGGATTTGATGATGGTACACTGCCATAATGCTAATTAACACTTAGAGCATTCATAGTAGTAGATTTTTCTTGGTTTTTTGGACGACTTGAACATGAGAGATGATGATTTGAAAGAGAGAGGAGAAATGAGAGATAAGAAATTTAATTTGTGGGAGGAATTGATTTTTTGTGGGACCCAGGGAAGAGAGAAATTGTTTTAAACATTGCAGCTCTACGCATTGAGCGTACACTACGCGCCCAGATGGCGCGTGTACCGCTAAATATCTTTTTTTCACTTTTTTTTTTTGCTTGACAAATTTTTATTTTTATTTTCTCATTTTCTCTTTACTTCCTCTCTCTCCTATTTGGCTCTTAAAAATTGTGCAAAAACTAAATTGATGTGGATGCTCTTAAGCAATGTCGACCCAAAAGAATCTAAACTCTACCATCAAAATTCGAATGGTCTATAATTATTAATTCTGAAATACTAATTTAAAAATACACATTAAGCATTGGTCTATTTGCACAATGCACCTGTGGTAACTAGTGGTTAAAAAAAAAAAAAAAAAAGTGCTTGGTGTAACTGTGTAAGCAAGAAATTTTTAAAATAAGTAAACATTTAAAATATTTTTGAGTAAATATAATATACTCTTGGACATCCTCAATAGTGGTAGGATTTTGTGTAGATTTTGCAGGTGTGATTAGGAAATAGAAATGAGTGAAAAAAAAAAAAAAAAAAAAAAAAAAAAAAAAAAAATCAAAAACTGAAAAATCCCCCAAAAAAACCCCCAAAACCCCCTAAAATCCTCTAAATAACATAAAAGGGCATCCTTATTAGTAGAGATTTTGATGTGAATTTTGAGGAGCTTTTGTAAGTGTAATTAGGAAAGAGAAAATTGTAGAAAAATAAAAAAAAATGCTAATTTAAAAAAAAAATTGTCATTAACGCGACACTACACACGCCCGCTGAGCGTCATTTGTTGGCCTTCACGTGAACAGAGATGGAAGTTACTAAAATTGGTGGGTCCCACTTTTTCTGCAAGATCTCCAAATTTGGAGTAGCAACTCTAACATTCTCTTCTCATTATTATCCTTCCATGTTGGCAAATTTTTATTAAAACAAGTGCATAGTCCCCTTATTGAGGGAAAATTATGCTGTGCATCTGTATGCACCATGCATGGTGCATACGGATGCAAAAACGACGTCGTTTTATTAAAAACGCGCGTCTCACTTAAAAAAAAAAAATCAGTTTCGACTTTCGATTCCGAGCAACAACATATGAACTAAAATTCCAGAATCGATGAACTAAAATTCTAGAATCTATGAACTAAAATTCCATAATGAATGAACTAAAATTCCAGAATCTAATCTATGAACTAAAAATTTCAGAATCTATGAACTAAAATTTCAGAATCTATGAACTAAAATTTCAAAATCGATGAACTAAAATTCCAAAATCGATGAACTAAAATTCCAGAATCTATGAATTAAAATTCCAGAATCAATAAACAACATAATGCTGTTGAGGGGAATCGAAACTGATTTTTTTTTTAAAGTGGGATGCGCGTTTTTAATAAAACGACGTCGTTTTTGCATCCGTATGCACCATGCATGGTGCATACGGATGCACATCATAACTATCCCTTATTGAGGATGCCTAACAACAGGGCCGAATTTTGGGTTAGTGCAAGCTGGGCTACATCGCAGGCCCCAAATTTTAGAGGGTCCAAATTTTAGAGGGTCCAATCTTTTTGTAGTGCGAGTTTGCACACGCCATTGTTGTTGTTGTTATTATTATTATTATTATTATTATTATTATTGTAATTTATTTCATAATATGTCTTTTTTTTTTCTTTGCGCACATCAACATTTTAACACCTTCTCCTTATTATTATTATTATTATTATTATTATTGTTGTTGTTGTTGTTGTTGTAGTTGTAATTTATTTTATAATATATCTTTTATTTTTTTCTTTATCACAGAACATTTTACCACCTTATTATTATTATTATAAAAAATTATGATATTAATTTTAATGATTGTAATTTTAGTAAAGTCTTATTTATTTACCTTATCCCTCTCTCATTCAACACATGATTTTATTTCTTAAAATATGTACAAAATCCCCTAGTGGGGATGGCCTTAAACCCACGTATAATAGACACCGGACAGAGTGCACTGTCAGTGATGGCTGATGAATTTTAGTTTAGATTCCAATTACATTGTACTCTAGTGCTCTCTCATTACCTATCCTTTATATATATAAGTACGCGACAAGCAGCTGGTAATTGAGAGAGAGAGTGGAGCGGAGGTGATAGCAAATTATAAGAAATGTGGCGACAGTGCCGGAAACTGAGCGGCAGCTCTACTGCGAACTCGGAGCGAGCTTTGAAGGAGAAGAAATGGGACGCACTGGTGATCGGCGGTGGCCATAACGGCCTAACCGCTGCTGCCTACCTTGCTCGCTCCGGCCTCTCCGTCGCCGTCCTCGAGAGACGCCACGTCATCGGCGGTGCTGCCGTCACCGAGGAGCTTGTTCCTGGCTTCAAATTCTCCCGTTGTAGCTACCTCCAAAGCCTCCTCCGCCCCTGCGTCATCAAGTTACTCTCCTTCCCTATCTCTATCGCAAACACATATCATTCAACAATTGTACAATATTGCTAACACGATTGTTTAGAAATTTAATTTGATCGATTTCTGATTTTGTTATTTTGCTCTTGCTCTTACTGGAATCATAGAGAACTAGAGCTAAAACGACATGGATTAAAGCTATTAAAGAGAAATCCATCATCATTTACTCCCTGTCGTGATGGACGCTATCTCATGCTTGGTAGAGATAAACAGCATAACTATTCTGAAATTTCCAAGTTCTCCGAACGTGATGCCAAGGCTTTTGCGAGGTTTGTTTTGTCTGTATTGATAGACTAGTGATAAATGTGTTTACGTGAGAAAACTGTTTTGAGATTATAAGGTGTAAATGTTCAGTTGCCATTTTGATTTTGATTGATGACGATGGGGTCATTCTAATGAGACATAATGCTAATGTATTCGTAGCTATAAGCTATTATGTGGAAAAGGTGTTTTATTCACCAGTGCTAATGGGCTATCTTTTATTTACTTTGTATATGTGTGTCTGAATAATTAGTTTTTTGTGCTCTGAACTTCTACTCATAAATAGGTATGAGAACCAGCTAGACAAGTTCTGCAAATTTTTGGATCCACTTTTGGATTCTTCACCACCTGAAGCTCTACAAGGAAATCCATCTTTTAATGCCCGACTGCATAATAAGTTAGAGAAATCAGCCTTTTGGTCTCACTGCCTACGAAGTGCACTCACATTGGGACAAAATGACTTACTGTAAGATTTCATAATCATAATCTGCTTTTGAGCTTTTCCTTCACATCAGCTGGACATTTACTTGACATGCATTAGAATTTTTAACATTTTTCCCTTAACTTGGTTTAACTTAATATCAGGGAATTTATGGATCTTTTACTCTCTCCAGCATCAAAGGTTCTAAATAACTGGTTTGAGGTAACTAGTTCCATAATGCATCTATTTTTGTTCAAAGAAACAGATTGTAATCACTCACTTAAAAGTCAACTCTATTTAAATATATTGGAAATTAGAAGGTTCATAGTGTGGCAGCCACTAAAGTTCTTCTTTGATCACCTAGGACACTAGGTCTAGGTTGAATATTAGTTTGTCTACATGGCTAATCTTTTCTTTTTGCTCTGTGGAATAATTTTTTTTGTTCTATACTAGAAATATATTATTGCTTCTTTGAGTGTTGGATTATTCTTATCAAGAAAACATTTGATAATCTCAAAGAGTTTTAATTCCATTCTTTTCACTTTATGGTTTGCCCAAATATTTATATTCTGCAATACATTCTCTGAATGATGGCATCTCTTTAACTCAGTTCCACTTAATATTACAGACTGATGTTCTGAAATCAACTCTTGGAACTGATGCAGTGATAGGGACCACGGTAAGCTATTTCACTATCCATCATAGAACTATATGCATTGATGCACTAAGTCTAACCATTTATATTGTATAAGTTGCATTGATAAATTCTCTTATATCAAGGAGGCTACAGTTTTTCTCTTGGATTAAAGTCAATCAAAAAGTTTAGAAGATGGGGGATAGCAGGCCATTCAAGCTATTTTCTTCCGCTAATTAACTTAGATAAATAGGTTTCATCTTATCGCATCTATGCATAAAAGTCAATACTCCAGTTTATTGATTTTGGTATACAAACAAAAGATCTAGTTTATCTCAAATACATTGTGGTGAGAAATAGTTCAAGTTATTCTCTTAGTTCTTTCTTTGGGTTCAATGAACTTGAACTTAAGAAACCCTGTTTGCCATTCTTTTGACCCGCAATGCGATTGGACATAACTTAAAATGTCAGTCTCACTATTGACATTAATTTCATTGACTTGTGCTGTTGTGCATGTCCTTGTTTGATACATGAAGGCACATTTTGTATTCTTGACAAGGCTCTTGATTTGATAATGTGCTTTGAGCTAATGATTTTTTTAAAGAAATCTTGACAGGATTGCTAAATACAATCCTTGTTTGTAGTTTTATTTCTGCACATACTGTGTTAGATTTTATGTGGCTTATATATGGTTATGAGACTTGTTTGATGTAGTTTTGTCAAATTCTTTTCAACATCACTTTTATTTTTCTTTTTTAAATTTTAAATCATAGGCAAGTGTACATACACCTGGAAGTGGATATGTCTTGCTACATCACGTGATGGGAGAAACTGATGGTGACCGTGGTATTTGGTCGTACGTATTTTTAGAGAAAAGACAACATAACTGCACATGACGGACAAATAAAAGCTTTTTACTTGCTTGGTTTTTAATTTTACTTTGGGATCTTATGTATTCAATAGGCCAAAGACCATACAAACTTATTTATTAAATTTCATTTGCTTACTAAAAACCTTTAAAAAAAAAAAGCATTGGAAGTCTTTAGATATTTCACTACCATTTTTTTTGACCTAATTATGGATTGATGCTTTTAGCATAAGCAAAGTGTGGTTTTTCATGTTGTCTGCTCTTACTTGATTAAAAAATTAGTTCACAATTATTGTGACTTGTAGGTATGTTGAAGGGGGAATGGGCTCAGTGTCTTTGGCCATTGCTAACGCTGCTAGGGAGGCTGGTGCAGTTGTAGTGACTAGTGCAGAGGTATGTGCAAAGCCATTGCTTTGTTCGGATACATCTCCATTGATATCACTACAATGTTAAAATTTACATGTTTATTAAGTGCTTATTTGCTTGGCTCTTCAGAGATATACAAGAAAGAAGTTGCTAAGATTTGAATTCCAGATGTTAGGTTGTAATACCTTAGTCGAATGCACTTGTGGTGGAAAATCTAGAGCCTCTTGTATTCAAGCCTATGTCCACCAATTTTAATGCTTTCAATAGATCTATGAATTGAAGTTCTTGCTTCTTTTATTTTTTTTGTCATGCAGGTCTCAGAGTTGATAATTGAGGACAGCGGTAGAGCTTCTGGGGTTAGTTTTATTTCATTTTATCCCTTTTCAATTATGTTTTCATACCTAGGATGAGCTTATGAATATGGATGGTATCATCTAGGTGTTGTTGGCTGATGGAACACCAGTGTATTCTTCAGTTGTCTTGTCAAATGCAACTCCTTACAAGACTTTCATGGTAAAGTTTTTCTAGCTTTCTGCAGAGTCAAGCAGTTTTTTGTCAATATCTTATTAGTTTAATATTCTTGCTAGTAAATCTTAATATCTTATAACATCATTGCAACTTTGTTGAAATTGATGAAATGGTTCATAGTGATGCTTTTCTCATTAAACAGGATCTTGTACCTAAAGATGTGCTTCCTGATGATTTCCTTCGTGCAATAAAGTTATCTGATTACAGTTCTGTAAGTTCACATCTATTTATTTTTTGCCTTGAATGAAAGATAATGCAAAACATTGTCAGAAGGCAAAGAAGAAACTCAAGAGATTAACTTCTATAATTGCTCTCATGTACATGGAACTATTATGATGATAGAACATTGAAAGGAGACATCAACTTGTCATCATCCTCAATGCTTCTTATCATGGTGCCTTCTTATATTTGTTTCATCCTATCATTTCTTGTCATTCACCTACCTGTTAATGAGAATTGATTAATGGGGCAGGCAACTACCAAAATCAATTTGGCAATTGACAGACTCCCACAGTTCAAGTCCTGCAACTTAAGTCATCCTGATGCTGGGCCACAACATACTGGCTCCATTCACATCGGTTCTGAGTGGTATGACACCATTCATTTTATCCATTTTCAGATTTATGTTCTCATGGTTTATTTGCAACTTATGTCTCAAGTTTAGATTTAAAAATTATCATTAATTTTAAAATACAATGACAAACTACCACTATATAATCTGTGCCTGAAAAAGGATTATAGTTTTACTCTAGTTCAAGTAACATTCTCCTGTTAAGAGTTCATGCTATATCTAAAAAATCGTTGTGTTGTTGGCCAGTAGTCATTTTGATCAAAGTTAAGTTGGCTTGTGAACTTCGGTGCAGTTGTCACTGAACATAATGCCTGCCTTTTTCTTCACAATATTAGTTCTTTAGCTAGCAATTGCTTTCTATGTTGTGTTATTTGTTAGAAAGTCTGCACTATTGGAAGTTTGGTCACAGCAGAGATCAGTGAGTTCCTTTTGCAACTAATAATTTGTCTCGCTGGCAGTTAAAAATGGAGTTGTTGTCACGATGGTCACATGGTTTAGGTGTTGATGTTTCTATTCTCTATTGCAGTACATAAATAGAATTTTTGTTATATAAATTTTCATAGATGCCTTAGTCAATTATTTGTTAATGGTCATATGACTCATATCAACAGTCAATTAGTCAAATTAGTTCTGACCAATTTATGTGTTTACGATAAAAAGCAGATCCACCAGTTGGCTTGGCTGTTTTCTCTTTGCCTGGGTCATATTTTCAATTCCATTTCCTGGCATCACGTAAAACCTTTAACTTCTAGAACATCAATTTAAAAACCATTTTTTTATGTTCTTCGTTTTCATTGTAGTTTTGAGGACATGGCTGCTGCTGCACAGGATGCTGAAAATGGAGTACCATCTCGAAGACCTATAATTGAAATGACAATCCCTTCTGTCCTTGATAAGACCATTTCTCCTCCTGGTGATTTTAGTTGTTTTCTTCAATGATAAATCAGTGAATAACTTTGTGTGTTACTTTCTTGGTGCACCAACCTTTTGCTTTTTCCAATATAACTTGTATTCTTTCTTCGTTATTTTGATTTAACTTTTGCATCTTCATTTGATGTATTGGATAAAATATTAGCATTTAGGCTCTTCTTTCACTCAGAAAATGTATAGAATGCTTACAGTCCTCCCATTATACATCATTTCCATTTATTAATGCACATAACCAAACATTTAATGTTTAGTTCTTTAGGTGAGTTTTTCTCCAGCACCATTTCACCAAGTGGTTGCAATTTGGGTCATTTAGTATTTTGTGTTCATCCATCATTTAAATTTATCCTTAATTCATTTAATGGATTTGGACACTGCTGTTGTGTGGTTATCCTTTTCATGAATAATTTTATTTGGCTTTGCTTTCTTTCTCTACAGGCATTGTGTGTGTTCTGCATACTGAAAATCTTCATTCCTCTTTCTAGGCAAGCATGTTGTTGGTTTGTTTATCCAGTACACACCGTACAAGCCATGTGATGGAAGCTGGGAAGACCCTACATACAGAGTAAGAAATTAAGAATGACACATGCACACATTTGTATTTTGAGTGAATGATATCAATCTTAAAATTCTGTCCGCATTTACCATCCATTTTTGCTATTAATTTTGAAGCTTGTACAGTTAATTCTGAGCCTGCAAAAGTTTGTTTGCATGTTTGGGCCCATCTCTTATAATTTTGAAACCTAATATAGGTCAATTAGTAGATGGCTTCATGGTTGAGTGTGAATCTTTTCTGCAGGAAGCATTTGCTCAGAGATGCTTTAGCCTAATAGATGAATATGCTCCTGGATTCAGCTCATCTGTTATTGGTTACGACATGTTGACTCCTCCAGATCTTGAAAGAGTAATTGGTCTGACAGGTATCCTGTGGTTATCTGAGTTCAGTTAAATATCTAAACGCATTTAGAGGAACGATGGGTTATGGGTGTGAAGATAAGTCAAAACTTGAGTTGGAATGTGAAGTAGAATTACTTATTTGTCTATATTTCTTTGGGAATCAAAATCCTTTGATCCTTCACTGCAATTATGTTGATGGGTGTGATCTCCACTACTTGCTTCTATTTTGACATTGCATTCGCATCAAAATCCCTAGTTTTTGAGTAAAAAAAATATATTCTAAGGATTCTTTCAGAGCTTCTATTGTTGTCAAAACATGTTCTGGCATATGTCTGCATCTGGTTTAAGTCACCATCGCGAGAATTTCTCAATTGGAATTTCAAGTTTAATTGACTTAAAGAAAACAACATAGATGGTACCATTTTATTAGTAAGGCGGTATTTGAATGCTGGTGTATTACTTAAAACTAGCATAACAAGCAGATCTAGATTCTTGTCATCTTCATTGTTATATGATATCTTGGTTTTACTTTGACAGGGGGGAATATCTTCCACGGTTCCATGGGATTAGATTCATTGTTTCTCATGAGACCAGTAAAAGGATGGTAAGATTAAACAGAGATTTCATAAGTTGGTATTTTGGCACATTTGTTTCAAATGAAGGCTCAGCCACTGTTCCATACACAGGTCAAACTATAGGACTCCACTGCAAGGTTTATATTTGTGCGGTAGTGGGGCACATCCTGGTGGAGGAGTAATGGGAGCCCCAGGGCGCAATGCTGCACGCGTGGTTATTCAAGACATTAAGAAACAGTAACTGATGCTAACCCTGAACCAAGTAAAAAAAAAAAAAAAAAAAAAAAAAAGAAACAGAAATTCTATTGATTCCCGATTTGAGCATTGAGGATCATACGATTCGTTTAAGCTTCGGGAGCACTGGGGTTCAGTTACCTCATCGGCTACAGGTAAGACTATTTGTACTAAGAACATCGTACTGTGCATTAGATTTCTTGAAGTTGTTGGATGGAGTTGGCTAACTCCATTTACTTTCTTCCCTTTTGTTTGTTGGGAGTGTTAAATGTTTTATCAGGATGTTTTTTATTTAAAAAATGCATTTCTAAATTTAAATTGTCCTTTTTATGCCCAGAAAATATTTGAAACACCATTGGTGTATAATCGTATTCACCATGTATTAATTGTGTGAATCACATTTTGTAATAACATTAATAAAAGTAGGGAAAATGGTCAAATAGACCTTTAAACTTTTGATGAAAAAGCAATTGAGCCCTCAAACATTAAAAAAGTTTAATTACACACTTGAACTCTTTAAAATTGTACAATTAAACTTAATTTATAGGTAATCAATAAGTTACCAGGTAAATATATATATATATATATATATATATATATATATATATATATATATATATATATATATATATATATATATTTATTTATTTATTTATTTATTTTTGGCCAACCGACGACGAACGCCGCCGGCTTCCGATCTGGAAAGAGGCCTCTATCGCCTCCTTACAGACTGGAAGGAGGCGATGGCGGCTGCCTCGTTCCAGACTGGAAAGAAGAGGCAAACATCACTTCCTTCCAGTCTTGAAGGAGGCGACTATGGCGGCCGCCTCCATCCAGACTAGAAGGAGACGATGGCGACGGCCGCCTCCTTCCAGACTAGAAGGAGGCGACGATGGTGGCTGCCTCCTTCCAATTTGGAAGGAGGTAATGACGTCACCTCTTTCCAGTCTGGAAGGAGGCGACGACGCTGGCCGCCTCGCCTCCTTCCAGACTGGAAGGAGGCAGCATCTGCCTCCTTCTAGATCGGAAGGAGGCTGGAGGCGGCAACATTCAGCCTCCTTCCATATTGAAGGAGGTTGCGAAGGTCGTCGCCGCTAAAAACAAAAAAAAAAAAAAATGAAATAAATCTATATATATGTCTACTTGTACAATTTTAAAGAGATCAAGTGTGTAATTGAACCTTTTTAATGTTTGAGAGCTTAATTGTTTTTTTATCAAAAGTTAGAAGGATATATTTGACTCGGCAAATTATGTTGTGCAATCGTGTGCACCATGCATGATGCACATGGAATTAGATTCATAATTTCTATACTATAGATTCATAATTATTGAACTTTATATTCACAATTACAAAACTCTATGTTCATAATTTTCAATGTTGTGCATAATTTGAACTATATATCCAGAATGAATGAATTATATATCCAGAATGAATGAACTATATATCCAGAATGAATGAATTATATAGTTCAAATTATGCACAAGGCCGTTAACGGCAATCGAAACTGATTTTTTTTTTTTTTTTTTTTTTTAAAGTCGGACGTCAAAACGACGTTGTTTTTGCAACTGTGTGCACCATGGGTTGCACAGCATAACGCTCCGTTTTAATACTACTCCTGTTGGGCTGGTCGTCAACTAGCAGCTACTCTAAATCTCATTTTTGTTTTGTTTCATTTTTTTTATATTATTGAATAGTAAATTTTTTAAAAAAAATTCTTATTTAAAAAAATTATGTAATATTATTATTATTTTTTTACATAATATATACATTTTATTTAAATTTAAAATTTAAAATTATCGATTAACATAAATTTTTTGGTCGATTTAATTTAATTTTAGATAGTGATAATTATATTTATAATTATACTTTTAAAATGATAATAAATAAAGAAATAATTAAAATATAGTTGATATAGATAGATTAGTGTGTTCATAACAAAATTGAAAAAAAATTAAACTAGTGGAAAAAATAAATTTTTAAATTGAGTGAGGTAGTACAACATTGGATGCTCTAGTAACTCTAGGTGGAGGAGAGATAAGGTGAGGTGGAGACAGGAGGGGGAGAAGAGGAGAGAAAATATTTTAGGCAAATTTTGCTCTGCAATTGTGTGTATGGTGCACACGGTTGTAAAAGTGACGTCGTTTTACTTAAATAAAAAAAAATATTTTCGATTGTTGTTAGTTATGTAAACATATGTTCATAATTTTATAATTTCACATTCTGAATGTATAGTTATGAATGTGTTGTTATGTAATTCTGCATATATAGTTATGAAGTTATAGATATATTTAGTTATGTATGCAATTCCGAATGTATAGTTATGATGTTAATGATGTGTAGTTATGCAATTCTGAATGTATAGTCATGAAGTTATGGATGTGTAGTTATGCAATTCTGAATGTATAGTTATGAAGTTATGAATGTGTAGTTATGCAATTCTGAATGTATAATTATGAAGTTATGGATGTATAGTTCAAATTATGCACAACATAACGCTATTAACAGCAATCGAAACTGAATTTTTTTGTAACAGTGTTCACCATGCAGCTATAACGCTCCAATATTTTGTTTGTGGGCTCCCAAGTAGATAAAAAAACAAATTAAAATAAAAAATAAAAAAAAAGTTCTTGGTGCAGTGGTGAACTGCATGTGCCTTCTAAACGCATAAATAAATTTTTTTCTAACACCCATGTTTTTTTTTTCTCTCTTCAAGTCTCAACATTCATGTGACAAAAACTTTGCAAAAATTGATTGCTACAGGAGATGCTCTAACAATGTGGGACCATACTTATCCACAAACACATTTTGAATAGCGACGTGGCGATTCCTTATCCAGTTTTAATATGCTGTGGATTGGATATCTGATATCTCGTACACGAATAGATTAATTTATATCTGTGTGTGATCAGTACAACACCACAACACAATCGTCCCAATTTTGTTTCATCAAAAAATTAAAACAATCTCGAAAGAAAGAAAGAAAGTAGTATTTATCAGAATTGAATGGCAGCCATGGCGTCTCTACATACAATAATGTTCACTAACTCAGGCAAGAAACCGGCATCGCTGCCATGCTCAAAATTCCTGGGCACTCCGAGGAACGTGGTTACTCCGAGCCCCAAGATCGCCAAGACGGCGAGGCCATTCACGGTGGTCGCCGCCGTCGGAGATGTATCGGATGCCGGGACCACCTACCTGATTGCCGGTGCCGCCGCCGTGGCGTTGGTCGGGACTGCTTTCCCTATCTTCTTCTCCCGCAAGGACACGTACGTACCCGTAGTTTTTCCGTGTTTCATTTTACATTTATTTCATTAACACACTCCATATATACTAGGGTATTTGCCAGTGAATAATGCCACACATTTCTAAATTTTTCTTTTGACATGCTTCTATTTGATTGGATTTTTAAATATTTAACTATAAATAAGTGTGGTCAGTTAATCCAATCGATATATCGTGGACCATGATCAACATAGCTGTGTGGATTATGACGATACGATACATATATGTATATTGTCAAATAAAATTATAGTAGATTGAAATTATATTTTAGTATTATTTTAATGAACTAATTGTATGTATAAAATTAAACTGAATAATAAAACTCACTTGTAGTAGAAACTGAATAGCAGAGTTCATACAGATATTTATATTACAAAATTGAGGTGTTTTGAAATTAAAATGATATTTGAATATTGTTATAATAAACTTATTATGTGTATAAAATGAAACTGGATAATAGAGACACTTCAATTTTATTTTTTAGGTTAGACCACGAGGTATCCTAAACAAGCCTTAACTATAGGAGACTTCTCTTAAAGTAAGGGATAAGAGGCGAGTGTACAATCACTCACGCCAACAAAGCTGGTTGACATTTCAATTTTATTATTATAAAATTAGCATATGTGAAAAATAAAACTAAAACATAACTCATAGCCTCAACCCTCATACCATGATATTATTATATGGAGCATGATCCACAGTAAAATTTACCCCGTTAATCCATGGACATCAAATGATTATAATGTATATTATGAGGGAAAAGTAGGAAGGAAGAAAATATTTTCCTTTTCCAATTAACTATTTGCTAAATTTACTCTCTATTTTGAAAATACTCTCTATTTTGAAAATATTATGGCACTTTTTGGTAACATAATTAGCTTATTAACCAATTTTAGCTTATTTGACCATTATTAGTTGTTAAACAATATAATTAATACGAGTGTGTGATTAATTAGCTTTTCGTAACATCTTATTGTTCTAAAATGCTAAAATTTAAAAAACTGCTCTAAGTAGCTTTTTTATCAGCTTTTTTGAGAAAAAATCATTTTACATATAATCAATTATCAGCTAATTTACCAAATACTTTTCTACAATCAGCTAATACTACCAACTAGTCAAATCTACTAACCCAAATAGCTAACAATTATCAACTAACCGCTACTTCGTATTTACCAAACACTCCTATATTTTAATTTACGTATGACATTGTAATATTTCCAATTGATTACTTATTATTTGGTGAATTGGTCGAATTTTGAATGAAATTTCGAGATTGGTAAATTTAGTTATGTTTTTTATTTTAGTTATTAAAGTGAGATTATGTGGTGAGTGTAATCTAAATCTAAAAAACTAATAAGTGTCAATACAAGTTATGCCCTTGATTTTGGTCCCTTTTTTATATGCTAATAAATATATACATTTTACTTTAATTGTTGTACATTCATTTGCATTGGACAAAATCACCCTTACACCGTTATAACACCGTTAGTTTTTAATATATCTACCAATCTTATCATACACCTACATCTATCATATCTTTTTTCTATTTTTAATTATCATTTTATTAAAATTATCATATAACAATTAATTTAATTATAAATTATATTTTAATTAAATATTTATATGAATGTTAAATTATATATGTGTATCATATATATATATATATATATATATATATATATATATTATTTGTGTATCCATATCAATATATCATATATGTAAGTCTTAACTTAGTATTATTTGTAAATTATTATTATATAATTTTATTTTTTTTTTGTTTTGATCACTATATTATTCAAATATATGATAATTCAAAAGTATCATCGCTTTAAGAAATTGTAAAACATAATTTTAACTAATTTTTTAAATTTTGTTACTTACAAATATTTTAATATTGGGCATACGTTTTCGCGCATCGCGCGTACAAAATGCTAGTATATAATATAATGGTGGGATGAGAAAATAGGTGCCCGGAATGTGACGGGGCGGGTTTCGTGAGGCAAGCAGGGGCGACATTGAGGGCCAATGCTGCTAGGAAAGACCAGACTCAAATTGTATGCGCTCGCTGCAATGGTCTTGGCAAGCTCAATCAAATTGACAAATAGACCTAATACATATTCTCCACGCAAATTTTTCTTCAGATCATGAATAAAAGGTATATTTTTAATATAGTAAACGTACATTATTTATGTATTGAATGCACATTATTTGATAATATACAAAATATTATATTTTCAGTACTCAAATAATGTATTTTTAATATATAAATAATGTGCCGTTAGTATATTAAAAATGTACCTTTTATTTATGAATTATGATTCACACAGTTGTGTGGACCATTACACTTACGTACTGTTTCATCTGTAACTTTAATGTATTCTGATGATCAAAACCTTTGGTCAAGTGTATATTGTAATATTAATAAAGAGGGAACTTTTATGGTGATATGTTGTACTATGCCATGTTCTTCAAAAAGGAAGAATAATTGTGTTTGAAAATATTGTATATATACCTCACATTTAGAGCGGTTAACAAACCGAATATAAATGAATACGAGCAGTTTGTGTTCGTTTGTTAAGATTTTTGAAGTGTTCGTGTTCCTTTGTTAAGGTTTCATTTTTGAAAATCTTGTTCGTGTTCATTTATTAAGCGTTTATTAGTGTTCGTTAATGTTCGCGAACATGTTTGCGCACGTGTCCGATAACGTTAATGAACACGCTAACCAACATGTTTGTTAATGAACACGTTTATAAACATGTTCGTTCACATTCATGAACGCTTAATAACCAAACACATTTATTACATGTTCATGATCAGTTGATCACAATTCGTTCGTGAACAAGAAATAATCTATGTTCACAAACAATACAACTATTATTCTAGGCCGCCTAGGCGCTAGGCGGCACCGAGCCTTGGAGTTTTGGCCTAAAGGCGGCCAAAACTCGGCCGGCCGCCTAGGCGGCCTGGGCGGCCAAACTCGGCCGAGTCGGTCAACTCGGCCAACTCGGCCGAGTTGACCGATTTTGACCATTTTTGACCGATTTTGTCTGATTTTGACTGATTTTGTTCGATTTTGACCGATGTCGTCTTTCATTAATTATTGATTTTAATATTATTATGACATTATGACTTGTAAATTATCATTATTTCATATATTTATATGTGTTATTTGAGTGAACGTTGAAAACAACCTCATTAAAATTGTCGAACTACAAGTCTGTTACTATATTTTTTAATTTTTTTGGTGCCAGCCTAGCGCCGCCTAGAATCCGCCTAGGCGCTAGGCGCTGCCCGGCCTCCCGACTAGCGCCTACTGCAACCATGATATATATATATATATATATATATATATATATATATATATATATATATATATATATATATATACTTAGCTGCTTGTTCATAAATATATGTTCATAAACATTATATTAAACGAACACAAAATGAGCTTGTTCATGAACATTATTAAAAGGAACATACACAAACAAGCTCGTTCACGAGCTCTGATCTTAACAAACGTACCTACAACTGTTCAGCCTTTGTTCGTTTATAAATAGAGCTCTAAAATTTATTCATTTATAATAAACAAACATAAACGAACACTTACCGAATACGAACACAAGGAGAGGTTTGGAATTCTTTTTAAGAAGATTTTTCTTTTTGGAGTATGGACGTACGTATGGCATACTGTTGTACATCACCGCTTCACTTATATTATTTCTATTGTCATGAATACAATTTGTAACTAACATACCAAAAATATATATTTGAATGTGTTACGTACTCAAATTTAGTACGCAACAGAAGAAACCTTTCGAGCAGGCTTCTAGCTCCAATCCGTATTCGAGTTACGGTAACTCCAAAAGTAAAACAATATAACAAAAGAAAATGAAGAATTCTTCAATATAATTGACTAGAATAGTAGAATAACAATATATTTCCTCTGAATGGTTCCCCGTATTCATATACAATGGACCTATTTATACTAAATTACTAACACATATAATAATTAAGTTACTACAATTATTCTAACTATACAAGGTAATAATATATTCTAATATACATAATTTCCTTATACTAATATTTAGTCAATTATCCTCTAATTACATATATTCATTCCTTGTAGACCATCCCCTAATTAAACCACCAATTATTTCTTTCCTTTGTTGCATATCACTCTCCACCCCTTCAAAAAACACCTTGTCCTCAAGGTGTAGAGAGGAATAGAATAAACACATATTTGTTGAAGCAGTCCATGCAACTTTGGATGGGGGCTAGTTGGCAAAATAAATTGAAATGGTTCACGAGCTTGATCGTGACACATAAATGGTCTCCTCCCCTTTTGACTTGCACCGTCTAAAAATATCTCTTGCTCTCCAATGTTGAGTTCCAAGTCTAAGGTAGTAGGACTCACAAGTCTTGTCTCAAGATAATCCTCAAGAGACTCTAAGTTGTTGAAATTGTGAATGTTGCTTTCATCATGAGTGGTTGGGAGATCTGTTGCTATTGATGATTCTTTAGACTCTGGGTTACTTGGTTCTTCTTGAGAAATTGGATTAGAATAATTAGGAGTGTGGCATTCCAAAGTATCATCTTGGTCCGTCTGTAATTCTCCACACACAGCCATCAATAGCTCCAAATTAGGATATTTAATGTCTAAGACACAACAGTTATCGTAAATATTTTGGCCATGAAGAGCTTGTTTGGCCATGAATGCATCTAAGACAGAATCAAACCATACCAAAGCTTGGAAGGTGTAACTTTCATCCTTCAAAATATAAATATATTGTACAGATCCTTTTGTAGAAAAGATCGAATACAATACAAAATCATCAATTGAATACCATACATGGTGTACAGAAACCAATAAGCACCGGTGAGTAATATTTTCCATAAAAAATAATTCTCTACTCTTTTTTTTTGTATTTTTTTCTTTTCTCTCGTTTTTTTTTTTGTTTTTTTTTTGAGATCTTTTTTTTTTTTTTTGTTTTTTTTTTTGAATTTTCAAAGGGGTGCTATAAAAAATGAGATAAATACAAAAAATAAAATAAAATAACAAAAGGATATGAGATACTCTCACCAATACTCTCAATGAAAGCACCAATGTTACGTACTCAAATTTAGTACGCAACAGGAGAAACCTTTCGAGCAGGCTTCTAGTTCCAATCCGTATTTGAGTTACGGTAACTCCAAAAGTAAAACAATATAACAAAAGAAAATGAAGAACTCTTCAATATAATTGACTAGAATAGTAGAATAACAATATATTTCCTCTGAATGGTTCCCCGTATTCATATACAATGGACCTATTTATACTAAATTACTAACACATATAATAATTAAGTTACTACAATTATTCTAATTATACAAGGTAATAATATATTCTAATATACATAATTTCCTTATACTAATATTTAGTCAATTATCCTCTAATTACATATATTCATTCCTTGTAGACCATCCCCTAATTAAACCACCAATTATTTCTTTCCTATGTTGCGTATCAGAATGACTATTTGTTGTTTTTTTTTTTTTTTTTTTGTTTCTTTTTTTCTCTCAGACAATGAAAATATATATTTTAGTCTCAATATTAATCAATTAATAGAAACATTACAAATAATGATTTAATATTTAAGTCCAATATATGTGCAATTATCAGGGGTAACAACTGCAATTATGAATATCTGTATACAGGAGGAGTAGCAAAAGTGGTTGGATTTAATTCTTGTATCTAAAGGGCACATATACGATTTTTGCTACACAAGAACTAACACTTTCTAGTGTAATTTTACCTTTCTTTTGTGGTTTGGAGGCCAATTATCAAAATTCTTTTGACTCCCCTTCTTAGTTTGAGGGGTTTACCTCTAGCGATTTACGATTTGATTTTAATTACTGTCTGATGTGGTAAATTTCACCACGTACACGTGCAAGAATAATACAATCATTATTGTGTGGACCATGGTTCATACAAGTTGTGTGGACCATTTTTTATTTACTGTAAAATAATGTACATTCAGTATAAAAATAATGTACATTCAGTACAAAAATAATGTACCTTGTATACAGGGGATGTACATTATTTTTGTTCTGAGTGTACATTATATTACATAATGTACATTCAGTACAAAAATAATGTACATTTAGTATATTAAAAATGTACTTTTTGTTATGGTGCACATAACATTGTGTGGACCATGGTCCACACAATAATTTGCCAGAATAATATATTTGTCTGGTCAATTGCTATTGGGCTCGGTTTGAGTGTTAGCGTTGGTACTCGGGACCTTGTCCAAGTAATCAGGTCGGGACCGAGCACGGGAAGATAAAGGCAGAGGCTCCCTAAGACGTAGAAACATTCGACGATCAAGTCAGGTCGGTCATGCACGATATTCAGGTCGGGTCAGATCGGGAAGTGATCCAAGTAATTTCTGGGGTAAGATATTATATGAGTTAGAATAATGTACTTTATGTATTATAAATTATAATAATGTACTTTATGAGTTAGAATAATGTATTTTTTGGGCCGTGGTTCACACCATTGTGTAGACCACTGTCCACGCAATAATGATTGTCACTTGATGAATTAGACCGACCGTGTTACACTTGTTGGATTATACTTGATGTAGTAAATACGGAGAATACTACTGATTCGTAAGGTATTCGATGTGATCCGGTTTCGATCCTTTTCTTAGCCATAAGGGCAGGCTTGGAGAACGGAGACAGAGGGTTCAATCTTTCAAGAGAAGGACATACAATAAACTTATAAACATCATGGTAGTTAAAAATGAGAAAAACATCAAGTAGTAGAAAACACCTAACATCTAACAAAAGTGATGTTAAAATGCTAGCTCCTCTCATTGACTCCAAGAAGTAATATATAACGGTTGGAGGCTGAATGCTACTGAGCAACCATTGGCCACAAGAATACAAGATTTTAATGATTCATATTAACCATCCCCATCCACTTGCTCAATTCCTCTAATATTTATTTTACTTTTCTTCTAAACTTTAATTTCGATCTCTGTAAATAAATATTAATTTATCTTATTAGGCACTAGTTTAATTTATTATTAATTTTTTTGAAAGCAACCAAAGTGGTTATTATAGAAAGCCTCAAATCGAGTCAGGTGGGACTGAGTCCCAATACATAGCAGTAGCATAGCCAAAAGCTGTAAAAGCTAAAGTGTATGTGTGCTAAACAGTTCTGAGGCACTAGTTGAATTTTAATTTGCAATTTTTTTTTAATGAATTACGCATATAATACATAATGCATTATATATTTACGGTTTGGAGAAAAATATAATTATAAGCTAAGTTAAGGTGTGGATGTAAGCTTAATTGGGTGGGTGGAAAAATCCTAATAATAATAATAGGTGGGTGGAAAAATCTAAGCTAGCTAATTTAACATTGTGTTATTTTCGTAAGATCAGAGACTAAGCTCATTGTATTTTGTGGGTATTACCTCAACAAATTTATAATTCAGATTAGTTCAAAAGAA